TTGTCTCAGTTTAGATCTAGGTGTGCGATATATAATTGCCGGCTTCAAATTAAATTACATTCATTACATAATATTAATTAATAGTAAATTAAACTCTTAATATTAACTAATACTAAATTAAGCGTATTATTAGTTAAAAAAATGTAAAATGTTTCAAGAGTATTAATGTTTATATTATTTATTTAAACTATAAAACTATAAAGAAAATTATCGAAGTTCTTCATTTTTTTTATCAAACAACGTTAACTTTTTCTGTCAACATAAGGGTTATTATACATCAAGATATACTACAAAAACAAAAAATAAACATAAAAATTTTAATAACAGGACGTTTTATTAAACAAAATTAATAGGTTCACCGAAAAGATATTTATCACGATGACAAAGCGACAGCGACCGTTAAAACAATTACCATTAAAACAGCACGCATTCAAATTTCCCTTGACTCTTGATTGGATCTAAATTGATAATAGCTTATTTAGTCGTCGCACGTGCCATTTATATAGTCTCGACTACACAGTTACATCTAGCTGAGAATAAGATATAAATTAAGCAGATATTTTAACCAATAGACGAGAATTTGAATGAAACGATACTGTTATTTTCTAAATAAATAATATTATTCTTAATATTATCAGCACGCGTAGCATGACGAACTCGAGAACGTTTTGTCTACACTCAAATGTCACTTTTCTCGGGTACGCTCATACAACATCTCACTTTCGACCCGAGAAAGTGACATTTGGATGTAGACAAAACGTTTCTCGAGTTTAACATGCTACCCGTGCAGCTCTTACTTCATTCAAACTCTTGTTAATTTATTAGAAATATTCGCTTAAGTGACTACTTTTACTCGCTATAGATACGGGTGTAATTCTAAATAATGTATATGAAATTTAACCTATTGTTATTCTTCTTATTACTTTAAAATCTTCAAATGTGTAAATTATTTACCTACGTGTTTAACAATTTATTGAAGTTGTTATCAACAGCGTGGACTTTATAATTAAAATAAAATATTAATCAGATTTTTTAATTCTTCCTCGTTGTGAGTCGGAGACTAATCTTCAGTTGTTAAGTCCAGCATCACACTATACTAGTATTAAGAAATAGTATAAGTTAATTCATGTAAGTCATAGGTATATTCATAGAGCGAATTTGACTACATGTTTACTAATTTATGTGAAATTTGATGTTTTATTATCGATAATCAATATGTAGTTTTCAGCTATTCCCACCTATATTTAAAGCTCTGGTCATCATTACATTTAAGACAGTAACAATAGATAAGAAAATAAAAAGTCATAATAATTCAAATAACAAAAAAAATATATACGAAACACTTGTCTAAAGTGGCTGCCAAAACTGTCGACAACAGAAATATTTAAAATGAAACAGTAAAATATTTCTTATCGAAATCTCTATATTATGTAAATGAAACACCGCTGGTTCAGTAAAAAATCACACTGTCAATAAAAACAATTGCCTGAAGGAGGACAACCTGCCGACCCTACAGTGGCGTCTAAGATGGGCCTTACACCTGTACCCAGGAACAGACAAACAGGGTTGCCAACATTACTACTTCTAAGAGTTATACGCCAGGCTGTGAATAAGCTGTGCCTATTACCTATAGATGTAGATGAAGATGATGATCCGGCAGAATATAAAGACACTTGAAAGCTACTCTAAGCTTTCAATGCCGCGGAGGATGTTCACGCCTAAATCTTCACGTAATATTAATTGAAATTAAACAAATGAACGGAAGTGAGGCGACCGGTAAGGCTGGCTCACGCAACTAACGATTAATCAGCCTGCTCCCGCTGCCTATAGTAATCATAATGCATTTTTCTAGCAAACTCACTTGTCGGATATAAATTAGCGGACACATTATTTATAGGAAATAATGCACATCTCCTGCAAGACAACTAGCAACAATTGTGCGTTATAGATACGCCAAATTATTTGAGTTGCATGAGTTAGATACTATGGCATTTTAAAAAGTACGCAAAAGTCTATATATTTTTTTCCAGAACTATATTTTATAGTTCTGGAAAAAAAATATATTTGACCCATGAAGGGCGTAACACAGTTATCTATAGATAACTGACTTTCGTGTGAACAGAATAGAAATGTTCACGTAGAGTACTGCCGTGTCAAATACATTTTTACCCCGAACTATATAATACAGAGACAGTTATTTTTTTAATATCGGGGAAGGGAGCGCGGGGGGATTTCACGACGATTAGCGAACGTCTTCGGGCGAACATACTAACTGCTAACGGTTATACGTAAATAATCATTTTATTGAAATTGTAACGATATTTAAAGTACATAAAGTTATAAAATTCTATGCATTGTTTTTTAATGAAACAACATACGAATTATATAAACCACTAGCTGTTTCCCCGCGATTTAGCCTGCATAAATTATAGCCTAAAAAAAAATCTTCCTAAGTTTGCGATGTGCAACGATCCCCCGAGATCTGCTGTGTATAAAAATGATAATTAGTCAACTTTCTTAATTTTCGAAGTACGTTTGAGAGAAATATCTCAAACTGTAATTTCTACCACATTTATCATTATAAAAGGACCATGAGATTATCCTGTAATACTCATTCGTAGGAGACCAGTTTCGGAACCTATTCAGTGTGCATTGAAATATTTCTCTAAATCAAATATTTCTTTAGTGTAGATAAAGAAATATAAATAACATATCAAATATATGTTATAAAGACTTATATCCCATACCTTAGTAACCTATTATTATTATTATTATCTATAAAATAGATCGTCAACTTTTCTTGAAATTTCTTTTTTTAATTCATTTCCCCTTAGAATCGACGTACTAACCAAATCGATTTATCTAAGACGTCTTAAAGTGATTTCTTTGCTAATGTATACGTTACATTTTCATATAGGTAAATAGCATGATATCTATATATCATCAAGATGAATGACCTTTTTATAGCCGGGCTGTCATGTGTGAGTGATGTAACTAGGATTACGAACTCATTCTACACGGATATGCTTGAAAACCTCCAGCCCGGACACCGAACTCTTTAGCTATAGCATTAAAAACTTTTTTATCGATGAAAATATATATTCTTGGTTTTTTATTTAAATATTTATAATCAATAATTTTCTGATTATATTATGATTCAATTAATTAAAATATGACCTAACCAAGTTCATTGCATTGTACCTAAATAAAGGAGCACTGAGAAAAAAAAAATATCTGTCTGACTTCAATTTGGTTGACATCGGATTCAATCATAATGCACTCCGAATGCAATAGTACTCTATTGAATTGAATTTTTGTATCATTGAATAGATCATTGCAATTATGTATAGATTTGTTTTAATCCAATATATTGAACGAACACACTGTGTAACTAATAATGAACTTTCCTAAAAATATATTGTGCGTTTAATAAAAAGTGCATTTTTATTGAATCCGATGTCAACCAAATTGAAGTTAATAAAGCTACGCGGTAGATTACTGCAGTTTTCACTGCAAGGGTACGCCGTAGGGTTATTAGTAGTTTATTGCGATGAGAACGCTGTAAAAATACTTACTTTTTTTTCTTTAGAATCAAAATTGTCTTTTCATGATATCTGTTAATATTCACGCCGTCGATTTACTTGTATATAAATATTTAATGTATTAGGTCGCTTGTCAATAACGGCGGCCTGCTTGGCGCTCTTGGTCTACCCAGTAGCGTGCAAGGAGCTCGCCGAGCCTGGACTAGAACCACAGGCCCAGGAGCCAGATAACTACGACGACTACTCACCACTGGACATAGACGACGAAAACGGTAAGATATTAACGGAAATATTAACAAAACTTAATAGATGTTGCACAAAGAATAACGTTCAAATAAATAGTTAATTAATAAAAATTAAAAACTACAATTACATTTGTAAAGGGTAACAGCCAAAATATGAATTCATAAAATTCTCTCTATAGCAAAAATCATAAATTTATCCCATATGCTTCACTTCACCATATTTACACGTTGTAATTATACAAGTACTTTTTAAATGGAAAATTTATAAATATGTCAGTCACTTTATAGCTCGGTGGCGTAGCGGATAAGCGCCGCGGCCCGCGATCGTTGTTGTTAAGCAACTTTCGCAAAGGTCGGTCACGGGATGGGTGACCAAAAAATTATTATCTCGAGCTACTCCGTGCTTCGGAAGGCACGTTAAGCCGTTGGTCCCGGCTGCATTTGCAGTCGTTAATACCCTCCAATCCGCATTGGGCCAGCGTTGAGGGTCATGGCCCATCCTCCTTAACCATCCATAAGGAAGGCCTGAGCCCCTGCAGTGGGGACGTAAAAGGGCTGATGATGATGATGACTTTATAGCTGTTATATTTATGCAACACTTTTACTACTAATAATAAATATTCACACCGGTTCCCTTTCGTAGTAGAAAAGAGAATATAATCCATAGTTATAAGGTAAACTAAAAAAGTACAAAAAGGAATGGCAGCTTTCTAGCCAGTTGTCAAGACATTCATTTGTATTACTTATTACAAATTACCAAAGGGATTTTTTTGAAATAGATTAATCCCACTTAGAATGGGCAATTACATCAAATATCTGGTAGTTATCTTTATTTGGCTTAGCTCTTCTGAAAATGTATTAAGACAATTGACCTTAGGCAGCGTATCGCTTTCGGAAGACTTACGTGACAGGCAATTACCTAACCTATCCCGTTTTTCAAAGTCAATGGATAATGAAGCCATATAATATGGGATTAAAATATTATACAGAGAAACTGAATATTACTCGTACAATGTTATATTTATATTTTTGGAAAATACTTTAATATTCAACCATTCTACTCGTAACAGTTCTAATGTATATAGCAAACGAAACAAACGACTAATTAAAAATCAAAAGTTTCATTTTAATTTTTGATTGTTCAATAAATGTCTAAGTTATTTAGACGAGATCAGAACCAATTGACCCGAATTGCTAAAGGATTTTCTTTTAAATGACAGGTAAACTATGATTCCTGTTATTACTTGTTTTAAAATTTCAATTTTACAGCAGTCCTGAGCGAAAGAGATTACAGACCCACGACAAGTAAGTTCATATTAGTATATTTGAACTTCAGAATCTTAATCTTCTTCATTATTACCTATATTTTTAAGTGCATCTAAAAAATTGTGTTTTCTGTTGTTTACACTTAACAAATGTGCGGTACAAAGTTAAAAGACGAAAATATTATTTAAATTATATTTAAACTTTTAAACTTGCGAATTACGAATAAAAACGTTATCTTTTGTGTAATCATGTAAATAATTAATTTCGCTTACGCACGCGGTTTGATGTCTAATTGATTTACAAGGTTACCAATATTTATCTGTTGTCAAAGATGATTTCTTATTATGAACTTTTTATAAATGTAACTGCACATATAATATATTAACGTTCTGTTACAGCTTTTAAAATTTTAGATGTACTTAAAAGTTAACTGTTTGTTTGCTTCTTTTATAACGAAAAATATAACTTAAACTGGGAATAACCAATTTTTCGTATTATATTTCTCAAAAAATAACTTTTCAGATCTCCCATCACCGCGAACACCACCTTCACGACGTAAGTTACAATTTACAAACGTATTATGAGATTAATGCACCGTTTTGTAACTAATACTTATTTATGAGGTCCTATCACATTTCTTGATGCTCGATGGCGCAGTGGATAGCGCGCTCTGCCTGCGATAAGATTGTTAAGCAACTATCGCAATGGCCGATTATAAGATGGGTGACCAAAAACTTATTATCTCGAACTATTCCGTGCATTGGAACGTAAGTTATTAAGCCGTTGGTCCTGGCCGTGTCTGTAGTCATTACCACCCACCGATCCACACTAGACCCGCGTTTGATTTGATTTAATTTGATTCCATCCCTGGACTGAGCCCCAGCAGTGGGGACACGAATAAGCTGATGATAATTCAGTTCAAACTAATGTATATTCAAAACAGCATAAAGTTACTTTACAATGATACGTCTATCATTTATAGAGAAAATATAACTTCATTGTTACAAAACCTTGATGCTTATTTTTTTTCATAGTCGTAAGAAAAAAGACCAATGAAGCCCATTATTTCCCAACTTGATTTTATGATATCTTCAATCTTATAACATACAGTTCCACAACCAGCACCACGTTGCATCGACATCGGCAGAGCCTGGACCGAAGGCGAACATTGGAAGAGAGATAACTGTACACTCTGCCAGTGCTTCAGTGGACGAGTCAACTGCACTGTGTTACCTGCTTGCTTAGCAGGTATCAGATTAATCATTTTTATTTCTACAGCAAAATTGCATTCTTGACAAAAGCGTCAGTAGCGTCTGCTTGTTTATCCAATTGATTTCTTTTGGCGTAGAGGAGCAACTTTCGTAAGAGCTTCTGTCTTCAGAAGGCACTTTAGGCTATTGATCTCGGCTGCATCTGCAGAGCACTGACCCCGCATGGTGGTTATAGCTTATAATACTAATTTTACTCCTTAGAGTTTCAATAACATAAAACCTTTATTACCTTCTGAAGTAGATTTTATTTGATTGAAGCTTCACGTCGAGCTATGAACTGTTTTTTATAACAAAATAGCATTACTGGCACATCTTACGTATTCTATCTGTGTCTATATTCATCCATTTCCTTTATTTTCAGCAACAAGACCAGTCAGACCTTCTACACCGGTGAGAGGAGTTTCCGGCCCGCCTGGCGAAGACGGCCCATCTGGTCCACCTGGCATACCCGGAGTCAATGGAATGCCTGGTGCACCAGGCTTACCTGGACCTACAGGACCAATGCCCGATGTAAGCAAAACCCAGCTACTGCCTACCTAGGGAGATTCCTTATTCTATGGAATAGGCTAATGATGATGATAAGGTTAATTGTTGTATTTTCTTTTAATTTAAAGGTTAACGCATATTTGTCACAACTGGCAGCAGCTGCTGGTGGTGACAAAGGGCCAGCTTTCGATCCTTACGCATATATGCAGGCATCGGTTGGTGCTCCAGGCATAAGGGGCATACCAGGTATATATATAATGTTAATTTCTCTCAATTAAATATAATTATAGCATCTAGATGAAAGTGACAAGCCTCCTATTAAAATATTGTTTACTTTTTTGTCACCATTTTCTTTTATTTAGAATCCATATAAAATAAAATAAAATTATGTATAATATATTTAGACATAAAAATTTATGCATATTCTAAGTTAAAGTAAACAGTCATAAATATGCCACTGTATAATAAAAGACTTTTTAAACATGAAATCTAGATTTTACATTAAATTTGGTCACATTTTATTATTTTTCATATTTTGTGATGCGGCAATTTTTTGTGCGTGACAAGGAATTCATTTCAGGTCATCATAAATTAATTTATCAATTAGTTATTCAACATAATATCTTGATAAAGAACAATATTTTTTTTTGTCCAGGTCCTCAAGGTCCACCTGGGCCACAAGGATTTCAAGGTCCGCGAGGAGAACCTGGAGAGCCAGGGCTACCTGGGCTGCAAGGACCACCCGGAGAAAGAGGCCCACAAGGACCACCTGGCAAAGATGTAATATAGCAGTTTAGATATAATAACAGTCTGTAGATACTAAACCAAACTAATGAAACACAAAGATCCTCTTTCTTATTTTCAATATATATTATTAATAAAAAATTGTAATAACTTTATCTACTTTTCCTGCTAGTTTAATAATATTTTATATATATTTTTTTATTTTTCACTTAACACCATTCTTATTTTAAAGTTTATGTATAAATGTATAAACTAGGGATCTCCGGGAGAAGATGGAGAACCAGGTCCAGCAGGAACTGCAGGCCAACCTGGACCCCGTGGAACTCCTGGAGTACCTGGTGTTCAAGGTTTGAAAGGTCATCGTGGCTTCGACGGCAAAGACGGAGCAAAAGGTGAACAGGGTCCAGCTGGAGAGAAAGGCCCCACTGGTTTACCTGGACCAATGGGACCAACTGGCCCTATTGTAAGTTCGTAGTTCAATATTCAATAATCTCTGTATTTAAATTTATGCAGTTAAATTAATCATTATTATTAGCCGACGCATACCCATAAGCTCGCATAGTTTCAACAATGTTAGCGCTCCGTAGTAGTATTTTTGAGCACCTAACTTAATTAGATATTGTCCTGATCCCATTTTTTTATTAATGTGCTTTTATCTGATGAGTTGCAATTGAGAATTTTGCAATATATTCCTTTTTTCCAATTACATTATTTAATCACTTAGAAATCAAATTTATGGTTAGGTCATAAAACGAACCTTTTTTTACTAGGGTCCTGTGGGCCCCAGAGGTGAACGAGGACGTGAAGGCCCACCTGGTCCACCAGGCATGCGTGGTGCTGATGGAGCAACTGGTCCTCCTGGTTTGATAGTAAGTTTCCTTAATTAATATCCTACATATTTCGATTGTAATATAATGTTATTTTCACAAGTCAACCTGAAATTGAATTAAATTAATTTTACAAAAGTGGAACTTCTGATTTGAAGGGCAACGTCGGAAAACCTGGTGCGCCTGGCTTCCCAGGAACACCTGGTATGAAAGGTGAGCAAGGTGTGGCTGGACCTAAAGGAAGTCAAGGATTGCAAGGACCACGAGGTGAAGCTGGTCGGCCCGGGCAACCTGGGGATATTGGTCCTCCAGGTTTAGCTGGAAGAGATGGAATACCTGGGGAGAAGGGTGTGCAAGGACAACCGGGAGCTACTGGGCCACAGGGCTTTCCTGGACCTAGAGGAACCCCCGGTATCGCCGGTGACCCGGGAGTACATGGCGCTAAAGGAATGCCGGTAATACTACTCACTTTTATAATTACCTATTACTTTGGTTAAATGGTACTTAAAAGCCAACATAAGATAACATATCCGGGCTAGCATTACATTTGGTACATTTGAACATAATAAGGTGGTTAGAAGTTTTATAAATGTTTCATATTTCACAGTGTATATAAATACTTGTATTGTCCTATAACGATTTTGATAGCGATCTAAAAAACAATTTTATTTTAGGGTCAACCAGGTGAAAGAGGACTTAAAGGAGATTCAGGACCACGTGGAGAACCAGGTGTTTCTGGTCCTAGAGGCTTGCCAGGAATTGTAGGTCCTGAAGGCAAAAGAGGAAAACGTGGACTTAGAGGCCCCGCTGGTAATGTTGGACCTCCAGGCGAAAGAGGCTTAAATGGCTTAAGAGGACTACCAGGACCTGACGGTCCTATGGGTCTAAAAGGACAACCCGGCGATCGTGGTGGAGTGGGTCTGCCAGGACCAAAAGGAAGCTCAGGTGATCCAGGCAGACCAGGGTCTCAAGGCTTACAAGGACCAAGAGGAACTGTTGGCAGACCTGGTGTACCTGGCAAAATAGGCCATCAAGGTGATAGGGGAATTCCTGGATCAGATGGTAGACCAGGCGAGCAAGGACCCCAAGGCCTACAAGGCCCTCCTGGATTAATGGGTAGCCCTGGAGAACGAGGATTGCAAGTAAGCTTATACTAGTCTAGTACTATAAATATGCGCACAAAAATATTCTTTCCTATGTTCACTTCATTATATAATTTTTATCAATAATTTCCTCTCCAGGGCGAATCCGGTAAAGATGGAGAAGTAGGTCAACCTGGTCCCCAAGGACCTAAAGGAGATGCAGGGCGTGATGGTGGACCTGGCACTCAAGGTCCACAAGGTCCGTCTGGTCCAGCTGGAGAACGAGGCCCAATAGGTCCTGTTGGACCTACAGGATTTCCGGTAGCATTGTTTAATTTACTAGGTCATTTATTGATTCTCATAATCTCACGCGTTGACACGGTAGTAGAAAGAGCTGCCTGATTTCTACGATTTATGAAACAACAAAGAACAATAAAGGGCTTCCGATCTATTACGGTTAGAATTATACTTTACAATTTATAACTCTCTTATTGGAAAAAATGTTAATGTAATTGATATTTTCCACGACTCGTCTCTTAACTTTAAGAGCAATATACTCCAATCATTGAATGATCAGTGTGTAAATAAGATGTCTTCATTAATTAATATTGTTAACACATTATATTTCTTACAGTAAATGTTGTGTACACCGGTAATGGGTATACGTATATATAAAAATATTTAAATTTAACAAATAATAATTTTCAATATATCACATACATAAACGGTTTCTAAATTAATTAATTACAGTTTATATAATCGATTTTTAATGCTATACCATGTTATGTAAACCGTTTTTAAATTTTATTTAGGGTATGCCTGGCACAGCAGGGCTTCCTGGCTCCCCTGGTAAAGATGGTGAAGTTGGAGTAGCTGGTCCAATAGGTCCCCCTGGATCTCCTGGCTCTCATGGTGAAAGAGGATTCCCAGGAGAGCGGGGCCTCCCAGGACAACCAGGAACTCCTGGAGAGAAAGGCGAAACTGGTGCACAAGGTGCAGATGGACCACCGGTATGAAAAATATCTAACTTAAAAATATAAATTAAGAATTTGAAACTGATCAGATATAAAGAATATCTAACTTTTAGGTCATATTTTTTTTATCAGTTACAAATAAATAATAAAAAAATAGCTGTCACGTATTAAACTTGATATAAAAGAATGCTTTTGTGAAATAGCGTGACTCAGTTCTCAGAGTTTTTCTGTCATGCCTATAAACCCTGTACTAATATTCTACATAATCATATATAGAGTTTCCCGTAAGATGTACTATTATGATCAAAAAGCATTTGGGACTTAAATTTTTAAACAAGTCAATATTATATAATCTAAATAAAACTTCCGCAACAAAATATAATATACAGGGACCTGAGGGTCCTCGCGGCAGCAAAGGCCACCCTGGTCCTCTGGGAGCAATGGGTATGCCAGGACCAAGAGGACTAGCAGGACCTACCGGCGAAAAAGGAGAACGAGGGGCCATGGGACCAATGGGCAATGACGGACCTCCAGGTTCAAGATATTTCTTTCCATCTCTTATTTATACCTATATTACAACTTAGTACCAAACCAAAACATACCAACTATATACAATTATAATGTCAGAATTGATTTTCTACTAAAGTTGAATATCTGTCAATCCATTTTATAAAAATTTTCGTCATTTGAGCATTTCTTTCAAAAACTATTACACGTCTAATTTTATTCTCATAAATTTTAAACTATGTCGTATTTAACAGGACGGCAAGGAGAACAAGGACCACAAGGTCCTATTGGCACTGCTGGTCCACCAGGAGAGCCAGCCGAAAGAGGAGAACCAGGTGTGCCCGGTGTACCAGGTGAAGCCGGAGCAACAGGTTCACCTGGAGAGCGGGGTCAACCAGGAATGCAGGGCGCACCAGGCCTTCCGGGTCCACCAGGGTTAACCGGCATGCCTGGAATCAAGGGAGATCGAGGTTACGTGGGTGCTAAAGGCCAACAAGGATCACCTGGTAGTCCAGGTAATTAATTATGAATGGCGCTATATTAAGTGATAAATAGTTCGCAATAATTTAACCGAGATGAAGAATATTGAACATTTTAAGTATAAATAACCAATTATCAATTATAGGCATTGTCGGAGAACCAGGGCTACGAGGTTTACCAGGACAACCCGGAGCTACAGGTCCTCGTGGTGAACAGGGACACAAGGGCGATGTTGGTCGAGCAGGTCTACCAGGCAGACCCGGTGATATCGGACCACCTGTTAGTAATTTATATTTTGCCATTATCTATTTAATACTTGCATAATATAGTAAAGAAGTCTGATGAGTCCGATACAGGTGGAAATCTGAAGATGCAAGGTCAGGCCTTGCGGAGGCATACACACCTCGCAGCCAAACTCTTAATTTTTACTGAATGGAAAATGATGTCTAAGTTCTAGCATTATCACGATGAAAAGCCACACCCCTTCTATTATTTAATTCTCTCCGATTTCTTTCAACTTCTTGTTTCAATCCCGTCAATTGTTCGCGGTAGAGTTAAGAATCGATGGGCCTGTCTGTCGGTTACAACTCATAATAAACCTTATATACCCATAATGCCCTTTTAATAACAATATACACACAGCATCACCATGTTGCGAGTTTACCCCGGTTTCGCCACAATCTGTGAAGCCTTACCGACCTTTGACCACAACCTTTTTCGCACGTTCTTATCGTACGTCATACACTTTTCGTCACCAATTAGCAGCTTTTTCAAAAATGGTTCGTTTTCGTTACGCCGTAATAAAAAATCACAGATGAGTACACGGTTCATCAGGTTTTTTCAGCGAACTCGGTTCGGTTACCCAAATAACCAACTTTTTTATGTACCCAGCTTTTTTCAAATACGCCAAAACGGTTTTCTGGTTAATCTCCAATTCTTCAGCTACGTCGTAACTATTGATATTCCGATCTCGTCCCACTTTTCCAAAAATGGCTTCCCATTTTTTCTGTAATAGGGCGACCGGAGCGATGCGCATCAAAATTTCCAGACTGAAAACGCTTAAACCAAATTTATGCTTTTTTCACAGAAACGACATTAGGTCCATAAACGTTACAAATAATAAAAAAAATCTCGGCTTACGTTACATTTTTACCTGTTTCATAATAAAATTTTAAAATTTATCGCATATCTTCATTAGATTCACTCATTTTGACACTAAAATAAAACAAATGAAAATCACATATTTTTCTAATTTAAATTCGGAGATATCTTTCTTAAAATTTAAACTATTTAATGATACTGAAACCAGCCAAATACAAATGGTATAGTCAGAAAGATTTTAATTCAAGTTTATGCCTAATATATAAAAAAAAAACTTTTCCCCAACCTAATATATGTCCTTACAATATTTAGGGTCCGCAAGGTAGCACAGGGTCGGCAGGAGCACCGGGATTACCTGGAGCTAAAGGAGCAAATGGAGATACTGGCAGACCTGGTCCACCAGGCGCACAAGGCCTTACTGGCCCCGCTGGCCCTGAAGGACCTAAGGGTGAACGAGGCAGTGAAGGTGAACCTGGCCTTCAAGGACTGAGTGGGCCTCCTGGACCTGCCGGAGAAAGAGGACCATCGGGTCTTCCAGGCATGGTTGGTCCTACTGGACCACAAGGTCTTCGTGGGACACCGGTAAACAATATCTCATACGTTCAAATATCATATTTGACTTATTTTAGATAAATTATTTATAAGCATACGTATCATTTTAAACTTGACAAAACAAAAAATAATTGTAGCATTTCAAATGGTGTAAAGATATGCCGTTGTGTTTTTTGAGATTTTTTATTAATAATTTGATGGAGACTTTATTAAAAAGTGGGGGGGGAGATAAAAATTATGGCGAACTATTACAACAAAATTAACAGCATAATATTATCATTAATAGTAATGATGAGATATAGTATTTATGCCTATAAATTATTAATCCTCTTTAAATATAGGGTGAAAGTGGATCTCCAGGAAAAATGGGTGCAGATGGAGCTCCCGGTCCTATGGGTACGCCTGGACTACAAGGACCACCCGGACCGATGGGAGAGCCTGGCCCTGAAGGACGTCCAGGAAAGCAAGGTCAACCAGGTATACCTGGTCGACCTGGAGATAAAGGACCTACGGGTCAGCCAGGTCAAATAGGATCACAAGGACCACCTGGGCTTCAGGTGCGATAAAACGTTTTTAACCAATTAAAAAAAAAGCTGTTTAATAAATTTTATTTTAAACATCTCAACATCCCTAATCCTTGATCTAATTAACTATACCACTTATGCAATTTGGTAGATGTACTTCTGTTGTTACAAGTTGTTATTTTGAAAAGAAATATAATTAAAATAAAATCTTTTTTTTGTAAACAAAAGGTTGGCAAATTTCCTAGTATAAATACTAATTTACGTTGCAATAACAGGGACCACCAGGTGCCACTGGACCTGCCGGACCATCTGGTGAAAGAGGTCTTCGAGGTGAAACTGGTCCATCCGGCGTAGATGGACCACAGGGTCCCGCTGGTAAACAAGGACCACCAGGTATAGATGGCGCGAAAGGAGAACAAGGTATGTTATTAAAAAGATAATCAAATAATAGCGTCACTTTATTTAATTATAAATTTAGCGCAATACTAAGTGAATTATGGTTTTTAAAGCAACCATCCTTTTGGCGAACATCCATTCCAGCTTACTTGGCATTGTATTTATTACTCGTTATAAGCTTCATAGTATAAAAAGTGTATTTTTCCTATTATGTGATATTTTGATTACCATCAAATATAGGTGAACGTGGAGCAGATGGAGCAAAAGGTCACGCGGGATTGCCAGGTTTGCCAGGCATGTTGGGTGCACCTGGGAGACAAGGCGAAATAGGTCTACCAGGACCATCAGGCCCTCCTGGCAAAGACGGGGAACCAGGCGTGAGAGGTGAATACTATGCAATTGGTGTCAAAAGTAATAGATACCATTTATTAGGATTACTCTATTTTTATTCAACTACACATATTAAAAAAAATTTGATTACAGTTTCTTTATATGATATTTTCTATTATATTTATTCAAGATTTCAAACAATAAATACTTTGTAATTTCTTTCAATTCAGGGTTGCCAGGTCGTGATGGTAGCCCAGGATTACAAGGCCCGCCAGGGCAAGTTGGTCCCCGCGGTCCCTCGGGTGACGCGGGACGTCACGGTCCACCTGGACCAGCTGGACCACCCGGGCCACCTGGACCTCCTGGCGAAGGATTGGCTTATGACGCTGCGGCTATTGCTGCTATGTTGCAACAAGGTATATTGGCAATGAAACAAACTGATTTTAACAATAGTCTAGACTCTGGATAAATTAAGTCATTTCAAATACGAACTATAATTCGAATTCCCTTTTAAATTTACAATAGCTATACATGCTTCGATCAACAAAATAATATTTTATTTGAAAAGTATATTTTATCTAAACTATTTTCGTATATACATATATGAGAGGATGTGGTCTATTGTGCCATTGTGTTGCTGTTGCATAAAAATAAACAAGTTATTAATTTAATTCTAAAGGATCAGTTAAAGGGCCTGACCCACTTGGTGACGACCCCAACTCGATGCCAGCGAGATTCTTCCGCGACGACATGTCGACTTCTGAACGTAAGGAGGTTGTAATGAAAGCCTACGAACGACTCAAGGTCTCACTAGACAAGTTCCTCCGACCGGACGGATCTAAAGAAGCACCAGCTAAAACCTGTGCTGATATCAAACATCACCATCCTAATATGGAAAGTGGTAAGAATGTGCAAAAATATTGTATACATCTGGTTTCCTGCGAATTCATCCGCATAGATTATAGTCTATGTCCTCCGCGTATGATGTACCTTCTCGTATATGAAATAATTTTCATGATTGGATGAGTATTTCCACAGATTATCCCCTACAAACAAACAGAATGAGAATCTTTACGTCTTTATAAATATTTTTGTGATATTAATAATATTTTTTTCTGGAATGTAGCTGAAGGAGCCAGTCAACAACGGAGATTGAGACATATTTTGTAACTTTGAAAAAAATAACATCTTTACGTTTTGACTGTCAATAAAATAATTGCGTGTTCTGCTTCGATGATTTTTTTATCAACGTTAATATCATATCTATACTTTTATTATAAATAGGAAATATTTGTTACTAGATCGAATTCACGAGCAAAACTAGTTCTTTTATAAAATAACGCAGTATAAATTTGCGCTTTAATATAATTGATTCCGAATGTATTAAGTATTTGATTATGTGAATACCTTGAAGGAGAATGAGTCATAACTCACTATGTTGGTTCAGCGCGGATTGCATATGCGAAAGTTAGGCAACATTCGTAAAAACCGGTCATAGAATAGGTGTCCAAAAATTTATTATCTCGAACTCCATCCCACGGAAGAACCTATTCCCTATTTATCTGTAGTCTAGGCCCGCGTGTTGGGCTATTCTTCGTATTCGATTGGATTCCATAGAGAATACCTATAATAGCCCCAGCAATGGACAAAGTTATTAACTCGGTGAGAACTATTAATCTATTAACAGTTAAAATTAAAAAACGTTTAATTTTTTTGAGTAAATAGGTACTTTTACTTTTTAAACTATATATCAATCAAGAATTTCTCATTTTAGGTCAATACTGGATAGATCCAAATGGCGGTGACATGAATGATGCAATTCTCGTTCACTGCGACATGGAATCTGGTAGCAGCTGCATTTATCCAAAACCAATGTCATCTAAAGACATTATCTACAAAGGAAAAGAGAGAGAGGTCTGGCTAAGTGAAATGGAAGACGGATTTACGGTGAGCACCTATCCATCAAAATTTGACACAAGCATAGCTAGAGACATAGCTTTAGCTATAAACATTGTATTGATTTTAGCAATGAACGTACTTTTGTTATCAATTGTTTTTTGTATTATTTAATCAAACATTTAGCATGGTGGCGTAGTGGATAAGCGCTACGGACCGCGATCGTATTGTCAGTCACGGGATGGGTGACCAAAAAAAATACTAGCTACTTAGTGCTTCGGCAGGCACACAGTAGTGAGGGTCCTTTGCAAAATAGGGCGTCCGTTAGAGAGGAGCGCAAGATGAACGGAAAACCCCAATTGCGTAACATAGCTTATGATATTCTTGCATTCTACAGATAACATACAAAGCGGACCACTCGCAATTGACTTATCTGCAACTGATGTCCACGCGGGCGGTTCAGAACGTGACGTTGCATTGTCGCAACACAGTAGGATACTTCGACCCGGCCACGAACAACTACAGACGTGGTCTCAAGTTGATGACTTATAACGACGCCGAGATATTACCGAGGGCTAATAACAGACTGCGATACAATGCGTTACTGGACGAATGTCAGGTAATACAATAGTACCTATACGGAAAAAAAAGGTAATTTTATTGCATCTGTAGTCGTTAATACCCATCAATCCGCACAGGACACGCGTGGTCAATGGTCCACTCTTCCTATTCAATGAGGATGTATTAAAAAAAAACGAAAGCACTAAAAAGCATCTCCACTAGATGGCGACTCTAGCAAAAGTTGATTTTTGCAGGAAACGAATGGACCAAAGACAGTCATTTCCATTCCTCTTAACTAACATATTAAAAAACTGAAATTTGAAAAGTTCGAAACTTAAATATCAATACAAATACGAAAAGTACAAATAGTTGTATAGAGTATATATAATAGAGTTGTTTATTGAGTTTTGAAAACTAATTTACTTTTAAACTTGAAAGAAAACCCGGAAAGGTTGTCATGGAGAAATCAAGAACGTACCGTAGCGAAATCTAGTTTGATTTCGGGAACTAATGTTTTTTTTAAACACTTCCTCATTAGATTCGATTCTATCCATAGGGAAGGCCTGAGTCCCAGTAGTGGGTTCGTTAATAAGCTAGTGATATCATGATGGTGATGTTGTTTTATTTGCCTTTTAGAATTCCGTATCTAAAGCGTAAATGAGACCCTGTTACTAAGACCTCAAGTGTCCATGGACGACGGTAATCACTTACCATCAGGTGATCCGTCTGTCCGTCTGCCCCCTATCTCATAAAAAAAATCTCACTGTTCTTCTATGTCACCAAGCTACATCTCATGAACCATGATAGCTAAACAGTTCAAATAGCTATCACGGTTCTGAAAATAGAATTAAACAAATGTTTTCGGGGGCTCCCATACAAGAGTCGTGTAGCCGTATTTTTATATCATTGTACGAAAGCCTTCGAGCACGAATCCGACTCGCAATTGGTCGATTTTTAACATACTAACATAAGTCACAAAAAAGAAAAAATGTCTGTTCTGTTTAAGCCTTCTTATGATATACCTATTGAACTCTAGTTCAATATTGACTACCTAAATTAAAAGTACCTACTTTTAAAAGAAACATTAAAATTTTAATAAAGATTATATTTATTCAATACCTATGAAACTTAAAAATCAATTAAATGAAACAACTTTAAACCGATTCAGCGCGTTCATATTTGCTTTCATAACGTTTCGGATCCTTTACAGGTTCTGCGTTTACTTGGTTCAGTGAACACGAAACCTGTAAACGGTGTAAAGCGTTGAAAGGTGTTTCATTTAATAAATAGTGCGCGTGAAAATATAAGAAATCAGTATTAAAAATATTCGTAATAATGTTAGATTAACTTAACGAGTTCAACGTTTTAATATCTTCTACTCTCCCTTTCTCTCTTAAACTCTAATTTTACGTTTATTCCCATTAAATAATAATCATCTTATTTAATATCAAAAAGTATAAATATCCATCGGTTATATATGGACAAATTTTTTATTAATGTGATATTCGTTAGACATATTAAATCAGCTCTATAATCCAGCTCTTTATCCAAACAGTACAAGAAACAGAATTGGGGACGCACTATTTTGGAATTTGAGACGGACAAATCAGGACGGTTACCGCTCATGGACGTGGCGATTAGGGACCTGGGCCGACCAAACCAACAGTTCCGAGTCGAAATAGGACTTGCCTGCTTCACCTAGACATCAAGCTATGAACACGGATTAGTACCTAAATGTGGTATTGCCAACTTTTGTAATTATTATTCATAGTTTTGATTAAAATATAAAAGTAAAGATATGGCTCATACATTACCCAAAAATCTGAAGTTCTTAACTCCGTGCACCTTTTTTTACCTGCAGTCCGTTAGTTTATTGTCTTACCTTTTTATTTTATCAAAGCTGCAATATTAAATCACAAATTCGACTGATAACTATCACATATTAATCAATAGCCGTCATTATGCTTCTTGTTTGGAATGAGTTTATGTTATGTTTCTTTACGTAATCAATTTCAAAACTGTAAAGACTCATACAGACGAGTGACAATGTAATCTGTCGAGCGTGTGTATGAGCTTTAAGTTAACAATTTCAGATTTTATCTCCTTTCTGTGTACAATACGAGTTGTCGTGGAAACTGAATTCATATTTAATATAAAACCAGGATAAATCATCCATAATCTTACATGAAGAGGATTAAATGTGTAAAGCTATGAACACTACACTAGCGGACTGAACGGAGCGAGTCAGCGATTCACAGTACTCGATTGTAATATTCTGAAAATACGTGAAATCTTCATCGACACGAAACTTAATTAAACACGAAATTTATTATCCATTAAGAAAAGTAAGATTTCCAATATAAAAAATACATTGTTGTTCGATATGAATCCGATTCATACTCGGTGATTTGTGCTTAAATGAGGTTTTTTAAAAATTACGAAATCCAAAATTATTCTCTTGACTTTATAACGTTCATATAATCCTTTTTTGTTTTAGAGTTGTCAGTAAAATACATTTTATTAATCTCGTTTTTATATTAATAAGAAAAAAACCGTAGTCATTGATTTCCTAATACGCTTATTAATATTGGACCTGACATGGTGACCAACTGAACATTATAAAGGCTATTATTACTTACGTTGACAGCAGAGCGGCACGATATAAAAATTTCATGTAGGCAGGGTATATTTTGCGAGGACCTCAAATATCGCAAAGAGGGGTAGGTCCTTTTGAAAAAGAAGTGAATTAATTTTTTTATTAATTCATTTTTTTTTATTAGTAAAATGAAATTGCATATTTGTATTTTTTAAACTTTTTTAAATCTTTCTTTTTAATATTTTTTTAATCTGGTTAACAGCTATATTAGAAATAAGGTAATCATCGTCCGCCCGCTGGCAATGTGACCGTAGCCTTATACGTGTATAAAGAAACAGATGAATAATATTTACTTACTAATATGTCACGTCTCTTCAAGCGTGAGTATGCGAATTTAAATGAAGATATTTTGAAGAAGCACGTGGTCTAAATCTTTATTTACAAAACGTACTTATACTTTAAAAGGTATTCTGAACTTTCAGATATAAATTACCTTTTCACTGAAATATTACGTAATTGATATAATTTTTAAGAGATATTCATTGCATTTTTTTTTATTTAGATTAATAAAATCGTAGGTATTACTTTACATTAAAATAGTTTTTTTTTTATATTGAATAACTTAAAAGACATAAGCTTAAATATAAAATTGTGATTTTAATTATCTAATAATTATGTTACTGTTAAATTTTAATGAATCAGGATAGTGTTTTTAAGTGTCTATGTTAGTTAGAAAATGCACCTTGAATATTCGTTATAAGTTTTATTTTATATGCATTGTTAATGACTATGACTTAGTAAATATTTTTTAAATATCTCATTTATAAAAATAACACGTTTGGTTTGTTCATTTATTTTCAAAAGGCCAATATAGTTAATAAAACTTAATTAAGTAATTTAGGTACTTAGATTTACGAGTCGTCACAAATTTAGTTTTATAAATAATTTACAAGGTTCCATACAAGGCTGTGTACTATGTACATAATGTAAATATATCCTTATAATAAGACTTAAAAACTGCCATTTTAATGTAGTTCTAATTTAAGTTACAATTTAAGTGTAATATTATAGTCTAAATATGTATTAATAATACATGTACAAAAAAATTATGTTTTGTAATGAATTTATTAATTGAATTTTATAAGTAAAACCTTTTTTAAACAATATAGAAAATAAAAAGCAAATCAATTGATGTGTATTTTATTTAAATCTAATTTACAATTTAAAAAATATTCTTAATGAATAATGCTTAAAAATCCACTTTGGCTGGCTCTCTGAGATGGGGCAAAGTCCATTTTAAAACGTTTTCATTAAAAATACTCCTTTACGATTTCAAATTATCATGCACAATGAAAAGAAATAGATTATACATACACCCAGTTGTACAAACTTTCATTAAAATTTTAATTAGTTTAAAGTGACATTACCCATACAAATTTGACACTCATTAGAGCTTAAATACCACATTAAACCTTAATGTACGTTTGTGCAACTTACAAATAGATTTCAAATGATAGTTAATTTAATGAATATGAAATAACAGATTCATAATTTACTCTTAACTTAGATGCTTGTTTTCTTATAAATCAATGAGGATAACTGATTCACAAATGACCAGGGAGAATAGACCATGACCCACCACGAAACAGCAGTGCAATGCCAATATTTCGAAGAACGAAGGAACTCGAGATAAAAAATTTTTTGGTCACCCATCCATCGGCCCATACGGAGGTTGCTTTTCTTCCACATCGCAGACGGAAGTCCGCAACCGACCTTCTCACTAATACCAAGTTATGACTAATCATACCCACTCAATCTCTCATACACGAATACAAACTATACTAGTGTTGTGTAAATCTAATCTCAACATGACCTATGCTCGGAAGCATGTAGATGATATAAATTCACATCGATAATTAATGAAAAATTATGATAAACATCACAATTGAAATCTTAAGTAGCATTTTCATCATTAGAAATTTTTAAATTGAGTTTTTTTTTCTAAAGAGATCTAATTCTAATATCCACGAATGAAACAAATATATACTTTTGAATGAGAACTGCTTCATTGGTTTTCCTAAAATGTTCCAGTTAAGGAAAATATCCCTAAATCAATTATGTTATTCTGATTTCTAAGTCTATTTCGTTAATTACATTGAATCTCCAACGTTCAATCAATTGCTCATAAATATATTCATTGCGTTATTCCATAGTTTTTTTTTTTGTTTGAGAAAATTTTAAAATTTCCTCAAACGTTCAAAGAGTATAGGAACTATACTCTTTGAACTGTATGTCCAATGTAGAAGAAGAAGAAACATCTATTGACCCCAATCACACAAACAAATACATTACAATACAACACAATAATAACAATTACACAGCACAATATCACGAAAACTATAAATCGAAGACATGCTGTTACTTCTACATTATTTCTCAGATATTAATAGACTATTTATTTATAAAATAAAAAACTATCAACGAGTCTATTGCAATGTCGGTCAATCGCGATTTCATTTAAGAGTAAGCCTATAGATCGTCATATTAATTACATATAATAAAAATAGCTCTAAACTTGTGGCTGTTGAGTCGTGGCACAATCGACACAACTCAACCCCTTAATTGACACGCTAACCCTAGTAACAAATTTATTTACTTGTTTTTATGTAATATTTTGATTGCAATAAAGAGTAAAATAATTTTAGTCCATATTGCAAAAACGTGAGGTCCAAATAGTTTATTCGTGTATGCGAGTTAGAAAAAGGTTAGTTTTGGTGAAGTTTAGTTTTCTTTGATGTTAAAAAGACAACTGCCGGGTGCCGTATAACACGACTTTATCAAGAACTGGATAGACTTGCCAATATCTCTACTCAAAAGGCAATTGCCCGATGTCTCTTATCAGAACGACGTTATCAGGAACTGCATGGGCTTAATTGCAAGCACTCTTCATGGTACACGACACAAACGGTGGTACTTCACAGGAACATGTGGTGCATTGCTCGTCGACCGTCACCTCGTCTCCTACCGAAAGGGTTGTGTTACCAAACGCACACTGCGCGTTTATGCCACGCAGGTTCACACCACGTAGTACTTTTGATGTTGCTGATGCTGAAAAAAAAAAACATAACAAAAATAAGTTCGCGGAAGCTAATCCCGTTGTAGATCTCATCCATGCCATGCCTACCGTAATGAATTGAAATCAAGCTATATTGAAAAGAAAATTAAGTTCTATTCTTCTAAAATATATGATGCAGACATCAAATTTCAAAAAACATCCAGTGTGAACATGAGCTGTGTAAATCGAGCATCCAATTTATATATTACAAAATTATTTTTTTATTACAACATGTTAACAAGAGGAAGATCAATCTAGACTTAAAAATTTGAATATAATTTTTGGAGCAAAACGAAACAAAAAGAATTAGATAAAATTTTCGAAAGCTCCATAGCTGAATGGATACATCACAGAAATGGCGCATCTGTTGAGGAATCAACACATGATATCAACCATACAGTGATGTGGTGATACTTACGACATGTAAAACTGATTGGGCAACTTTTCTTGCTACCAACGAACACCGGGGCGCAGTTACCCAATAACTTGTCCTGATAGTGGATCTCGATGCCGCAGTTGATGTCACGACAGACGGACGCGTTGTCAGTGGAGCCATCCCAATCACCGGTACAGATGCAGGTCTTGTGAGTATTCTTAGGTTCGAACGATTCCCCTTCGCGGTACGTCTTACCGTCCACTTCGCAGGTTTTCAGGTTAGCAATTGCGTCTTTACCTGAAATAGATTAAAAAAATATTATATTTGATAAAAATACAATGACAACGCCTTAGATGGTTATCTGAATTTGCTGTCTTAACTGTTTAGTTAAGAGTAACCAAAATCCGATGATTTCATTAAAGAAATTGAGTAGAGTATTCTATTAAAATTAAATATATTTTTTTATATTCTAACAGTGCTATTAATAAACAAGGTTTAGTGTCAGAATAAATTAACACTAAAATTACAATTTTAATATTAGTCTAAATTCATAATATACAGATAATAAACAAATCTACTACCTTCTAGGAGTAAATATTATTCCCGTAGAACCTCGTACTAGGTTAACCTTTGTTGTGTCTAAGCTTAATAATATGAATTTAGACTAATATTAAGTGCAGTCTCAGCGTAAATTTACTGCAATGCTAACCTTGTTTTTCATTTACGAAATCTACGTAGATATTAGTAAACTATTAACGATGCTTTGATCGTCAATACAAAACAATAGATCATGTTCACATCTCGTTGGCTCAAGGAACAAACAATTAATTACTTTTTGAGTTTCAGTATCAATCCGCATACCGACGATCCTCTTCACTATCGCCAACTAGTCATTTATTTTACAATACAATTGATGTTGAAGACTTATAATTGGTCTCCAACATCTATTCAGGTTGCGTGGTAGAGTTAAGTGTTATCAAATCATTAAAAGGTTTGCTCTTTCACAAAATAACGGCCAACAATTCAATAGATTCTTTTACCTGGTTAATAAAATAAATCCCGATTCTATGAAGTATCTTTTCATTATGTTTGCAGGAAAAAGAACTGAAATAGCTCTGAAACTAGTGGCAGCCTTACATTTGCATTAAAATATTTTTTTTTAATCATAGTATATTACAACCAACCTTCTTCTTCGACCCAATGTCAGCCAATACTGAGTGTGGGTGTCTCCCATGCTAACATCACCATAATCACCATAATTATCAGCACTTTTATGTTTCCACTGCAGGGGCTCAGGCCTTCCTAAGGATGGGCCATAACTCTCCACACTGTCCCAATGCCGATTAGAAGGTATTAACGACTGCAAATGCAGCCGGGACCAACGACATAACGTGCCTTGCGAAGCACGGAGTAGCTCGACATAATAAATTATTTAGTCACTCATCCCGTGACTGACCCTTGAGAAATTTATTTACTACGCCACCGAGCTTTAGTTAATACCCGGATAACTTAAATGAAGACAATGACTTGAATTCTTACATTCCAACACTTCAACATTATATAACAGATAAGAAAGCTTGGACTTGAGATGATCCAGCAACTGGATAGGTGATTACTTCTAAACTCATTATCTTGTTTCCATTATTATTAAATGATAATGTTATCATTATAAGATCATAGTTTTTTTTTTCTATCTCTGTTTATAATGTATTGATCTGGTAATGACATGGTTTTTGTAAATGTCATTACTCTTATTAGAGCTGGTGAGTTTCTTGCTCGTTCTTCTTATCAGCCAAAAGACGTCCTGAACGAGTGGTAGGGAAAAAATGTTGGACGATTCAAAAGTACTTTTAAGAAGTCTATTTGAATAAAGATTATTTTGACTTTGACTTTGACTTCAGTTTTGAGAATATTGGAGGAGGAAAAGGTTATTATTTACCACAAACGTTTCCGGTGCTGCAACAAGCTTCCAGATCGAAAGTGCTGACACATTGGCGTAGATCACCATCGAATACTTCCACACAATCAACAGCGGCACACTCGAATCGGGGATTACCGGAGACACGACAACGGCAAGCTTGCGAGCATGGGTTGTTAATCAGACTTTGTGGTATGGAAGACTGGTCGCCATATGCGACGCCCCTGGAAAATTTTATCATTTCGGTATTATTGAATTTTCAACATGTAACATGATGACTGTAAGGGAAGTAAACTAAGTTTACGTACATATTTCGCTTTTGTTTATACCCGCTCAACTTGAATGAAGGCAATGGCTACCTTGAACACAAAGTTGTAATTTATGCAGTACGTTTTATTTATATGTACTAAATGTCTAGAGGCATAATTATTTTCGACATCATCAGCAATATATAATTAAACTTCAGTAAATTAACAGAAACTTTTAAAAATGCAGTAAAACTTTTTTGTGACGTAAGGAAAATGCTTTATGTACTGTCCCTGCTGCAGGCGACAAGGGATGTGTGGAACTCTCTATCCACACGGACCCGCCCGAAGGCTGGTCAAAATGTGGATGGCATACTCACTATTGCACCTCCGATGCACCCTTACTTTGAAGGGAAGTCTTACTCATCAATAAAGGTATACATTGCTAAAAATGCCATGAAAATCCGTTTAGTAATTTCCGAGATTGCATCTTATTGACAAATAGACACCTAACTCAAGGACTTTCTAATATATAAGGATCGATCTCAAAATTTTGACCTGGCTTAACTAATTTTATCTTCTTCCCAGGATTTTATCACCATTTTTAATTTAATACCTTAGATTTGCAAACGGATGACATAGCTATCGATATTTATAAGTGCTGGTAAGGTAACAGCTTAAACTGTTCAGTCATTGTACTACGATAAATTAGGTCTTAAATGCTTAAAATAATTTCAATGAAACCTATTTTTGTAATGATAACAAATAAATAATTGTAAAAGAAATACTGACATACTATTGCTTTACTCATTTGAAAATAATTAATGTTATAATTGTACAAAAAAAAATGAGTTCATTATAAGCAACAAAGAAAAAGCCAGATAATCAATTGATTATATTCCATTGGAGTTGCAAAACAAAAAACAACATCCATCCATCACGACCGTGTCAGACCATGTGCTCATACTGACAAAATTGTGTCGAGCTAATAAGATTGCTCACAAGAAGTTGTGTAACAATATAATAATCCATACACTGTCGCAAGAAACTCCGAAGGTCAGACGTTCTGCAAACGGTCACGCTGGGAAGTCCAGCCGCCCCCTTTTTGCTTGTCCTCTTTGTTTACAAGTTACAAAAACATTGGACATTTCTTGGAATTCGAGGCCAAGGCGACTAGCAAATAAAACAAAATTATATAAAGAAAATAATAATAATGTGTTTTTATCGAGGTCCCGTTGTCCAAATGTATTCATAAATGAATTTAATTTCAATATTAAACACCCAAAGAAGATAATTTTATTTATGTAGACAATTTCTGCATTTAAAAATCTTAAAGTTGTTTGCATCAGGGTTATTTACCACGTAGGTTTCGAATATACAATACAAGTAATGTGATATAAGTTTGCATTGCGTAAACAGTACCTAAAGCTCTAGCTTTACGTTAGACATTTAGAATTTTGAAGTTGAATTTATAATTAAATATCACTAACGAGAAATTATATAGACACTAACTACAGTTGCCGCAAAAATATTAATATTGTACGATACTAAATATTTTTCACCCTAATAATGAAACACTGCTATTTCATCATTGTCAGTCATGAGATCAGAAATCTATACTTCTCGGGTCAGAATGATTTGTCTTTGAAACTGCTAACATCTTCAACTCTTTCTTTATTATAACACTAGCTTTCGCCAGCGGCTTTGTCGCGTGATCGCTAGGGAAATGTTCAATGGGACAAAAAGTATCCTATTACCAAAGTCAGTCAATAGTTTCGGCGTGATTGACGGGAAAACATATAAACATCCAAACAAATAAACTTTTACATTTATAATATTAATAGAATCTTTGACATTTTCTTTAACCCTTCGTATATTAAGATGCTTAATTGGATAGGATCGAGGCCTATCTTTTCTACTTGAAGATATCCTTTACAAGGCAAGCTAACACTACAAATTTATTTGTATTTAGAATGTAGTCCAAACACTGCAGTTCTAATATTCACCTGTAATAGCACATATTGGGGTCAGGATGCAGTTCAGGACAAGTGAATGAGTCAGGACAGATGGTGGAATTGTCTGCAGTCGGATTGGGGGTGCAGCCCAATTCGGTGTAGAAGCCTGCCATGTCACATTCACCCGCCATATCGGCGTATACGCAGCTCAACCCTGAAAAAGAATTTAAAGAGAATCTTAGATGGATCATTATATCCGTATTTGAATTTACAATGCGATATGAACTTTTGTAGATACTTGAACAGTTAAACTATTTTAGACATCTGGTGGGTAGTTCTGCCTTTATCAATTCGAATGTTGACGAATGCTTGAAAAATTCGTCATTCCTGTTAGGTCCCAGGTAGCTCAATGGTAGAGCATTGGGCCGGATTGCGAAGGTCATGATTTCTAGTTGCTTCCCGCAGTGGAATTTTCTGAATTTTCGCGGTAGAATTTTCGGAACTGTTGAATTTGAATACTCATGAATGGTATAAAAATAATTGAATATTTTATCGCCATCATCTGCAGAGTTAATGTATATAATTTTTATCTTGGACTCTATAGGTACAATATTCCTTCTTTAAAAAATGAGAAAAACATTTAAGCATTGATGGCAAATGATATGTATCACTATCCATAGAACTCTGTATAAATTCCGAGGAGTTCTATCTATTGTTGTATGGGGTGGGATCATTAACCCATAGCTTCCCGTATAGTCTAAGAGATCGTGACAAAAATGTGCAAGACCTTACGAAAGCTTAATATTTATACATCACTCGGTACCCAATGCTGAGGTCAGGTGCTGGAACACGGGGTAAAGAGTGGGTAATATAAAATACGATAAAGGTGCTTTATAATTGTTCAAAGTTAACGAATAACTCATTCCTCATATAAAAAATGAGACTGTTCCGTTTCGTAATAGTTGAAAATTAATTTATCACTAAATTATAAGTAGTTATTTCATAAAACAATACTCAGGTTTTTGTTAAATGGAACGAACATATTTTGCAATAGCTTGAAGTTTATTTTCCGCCGCCGCCACCAGGTTTTCCAGCGCTGGATCAAGCTTTCAAAAGCTCTTGCATATGTTTATGACGAGCTCTCCGTCTAGTACAGTCAACAGAACATCAGGTTCTACAAAACTGACAAACCTCTTCACTTGATATTAAACCTTATCGGATTGACGGTAGAGCTTAAAATCAATTAAGGAAATTTGACATATTGTGACAGCCTGAAGTGCAGCCATGTGTATAACGATACAATTCTATAGATAGCGAATCACCTGTATTGTATGGTTTTATTTCGACACTCACATACTACTTTTGTAATTGTGTTTTTATTTGCTCTAGGAACAGACTGTATTAACGAGATTAATAAAAAAACATGACTTGACAATAACTTCGCATTCACCCAAACGTGTGTCCAATAAAAAGTACTAATAACATTGAGAGAAACTAGAATGTCAGGTATAGTACAATAAATAAGTAACTTAATGTCAGCCTCCAAATTATCGGACCTATGTCAACATGTACTAATAAAAATAAAGCTGAAGAGTTTGTTTGTTTGATTGAACTCTAAAATCTTAGGAACTACTGGAACTGGAACGGGAACGAACTGAATTATCATTTTTGTGTTGAATAGTCCACTTATCGAGGAAGACTATCGGCTATATAACATCTCGCTATGACTTATAGGAGTGGAGTAGCAATAAAAAAATGTTACAAAAACGGGAGAATATTTCACTTTTTTAAAGCTTTCTATGCGTGCGCGCAACAGAAATACATTACCTGTGAAAAATTCAACTGTCTAATTTTCAGACAGACAGAAAACGAAGTCTTAAAGTTGTCGTTTTACCGTTTAGATACGGAATCCTAAAAATGAAAGATTCTGCCGAAAGTCATTATTCCACGCGGACAAAGTCGCGGGCACAGCTAGTATAATTACAAAAGGCAACCAACCCTAAGTCACTTATATTAAGTAGTAACTTATCAGTAATCTGTGCTTATATAACAACGCACAGCGGGAACTACTGTACCTAAAAACTTGAAATTTCGTATAGGGGATCCTTTTATGATGTATGTGAATACTAAGAAAGGTTTTTAAAAACCCCTAAAGAGCTGAAATTTCTATGGAATTTTCTCATTTCTAGACTTTTATTTATGAAAAATAAATAGATATAGACCACGCGTACGAAGCCGCTATCGAAAGACTAGTCCTACATTACAAAGATATTATTAATTACACCTTAATCACTATTTGGCGTTACCTTACTACCTTATTATTATCTGTACTTAAATAGAACTATAGCCTTTTGCATCTACAATTTCCTTATCACCTTTTTGCCTTGCTGCAATTTGCATATCGTGTAGGTTATTAAGATCAACATCCGTCTATACTAAACCAACTATAAAGCTGTAATCAACGGATAAACGAATTTGCAGAATCATCATCATCATCAGCCCTTTACGTCCCCACTGCAGGAGCTCAGGCCTTCCTTATGGATAGTTAAGGAGGATGGGCCATGACCCTCCACGCTGGCTCAAAGCGGATTGGAGGGTATTTACGACTTCAAAAGCAGCCGGGACCAATGGCTTAACGTGCCTTCCGAAGCACAGAGTAACTCGAGATAATAATTTTTTGGTCACCCATCCCGTGACCGACCCTTGCGAAAGTTGCTTAACAACAACGATCGCGGACCGCGGCGCTTATCCGCTACGCCACCGAGCTACTCAATATATTAATATATTTACAATGATCCTTCTCCCATTACGATTTGATTCCATTCCATCCACAGGGAAGGCCTGAGGTCCAGTAGTCGGGACATTAATGGGTGATTGATTTTAATTATCATTCTAGCTAGGTTAAGTGTATTATATGAATAACTTACGCCTCTTAATAACATAAGTAAGGACTGTGAAAAACGCTTAAAGGTGAGATTAAAGAATTAAATACTAAAATGCTTGTTAAGAACATGCTTTTATTTTACCAGAGATATGTATAAACAAAACGAGCCCTAACTAAATAGGTTTGCATTATTTAATCACAAAGTTCCCATAGTCACCTTCTAGTTCCAATATCAGACCCTGGATATTGACACAGAAAATTCCCTGTCAAATCGAACGAGTCCAAACTCTATGGCATTGCTTCGTTTTATTATAGCGCTGCCGTTGCCTTCTGTCGGCTTCATCAACAGATTAGCTCCATTCGATATTAATATGCATTATCATACAAGTTCAATCAAAAAATTGGTCTTAAGCATACAAAGTTTACCCACTAGCATCGTCACCATTAGCCCTTTTACGTCCCCACTGCAGGGGCTCAGGCCGTTCTTATGGATTATTAAGGAGGATGGGCCATGACCATCCATGCTGGCCTAATGTGGATTGGGTATCAACGAATTCCAATGCAGCTGGAACCAATGGCCGGGCTTAATGAGCCTTCCAAAGCACGGAGTAGCTAGTACCCATCCCATGACAATAACAGGCAGCGGCGCTTATCTATTTACCACCGAGCTACTACTACTATGACTAACATAGCAAGTTGAAATAAAATCTTATAAAAGTATAATAAGAAACATAATATAACGTAATCAATATGAATATTATACCTCAATTATATTGTGGTCACATCTCTATATTATATATTGTCATTCTAGATCTTTAAAGTCTTATGTTATAAGCTAAGCATCATATTTCATTAACCTTTCTCAATTCATTTTGTCTAATGTTACCCTACGATGGGAAATCTGATGTTCTCCACCATAGAACTTAACGGCATATTAGCTATCTTATATATAAAAAGTAATTAACCAATCACTTCACTATATTACTGTAAATGAAATAAAATCTGGGTGTTTTCAAAAATTATATATATTTCAAGTAAAATTTTTTGATAGCTCAGTAATCCTGCCCGGTTATTGTTTAACATTTGCTTCATTTTAAGACTATTATCTAAAGCTTGGCTTGGCACAATGCTTATTAATTTAGTTATTTTATAACTTTATCTTACTTTATTTATCTATAAATTTCTCGTGACTTCTCCCGCTTAAATTATAGTCTACATCATCCGCGTATGATGTAGCTTCCCGTAGAAGAAAGCATTATTAAAATCGGTCTAGTAGTTTTGAAGCTTATTCGATACAAACAAACCGTCTTTTCTCTTCAAAAATATTAGTATAGATGAAAAATTAGATTTAATAAGCGTTACAAATAATCAAAATCACTGCTCTTACAAGGATCACTATTAGGACCACTTTTATATTCAATAAAAATTGTAATTACTTTTGAATTACTTAATAAAGACCGTAAATCAACTTAAGTTACTTTTACGGAACTAAATGGTATAGTTGTAATTAATGTAACAATCAATAATTACTTACTAAGCACTACCAAATAAATAACCTTCATGGTGAGTGAACTAATTGTTTTTTAAACTATATACACTTTTTCTGTCACTGTTAAACTCTTTTTTTAATTAAAATTCGATACAAGGTTCGACGTACTGTCCCGACCGCGTTTGATACTTGAATGAGAGGTATGCGTCAAGTACTATAAGCGTGCCTGCGCATGCGCATAAACCTTACCTGTGTAGTGTACTAATTACATTTTACGACACAATGTTGTTGTTTATAAATCTATAGATGGTAAGCTGAACTCTCCATGATAAATATGAGAACAAAAGTTGAGAAGTTGAATGCTCAAGATTTTGTTTACTATATAGATAACTAGAAAGAAATATGAGGAAAGCTCTCTAGTTAGAATAAAATTTGAAAGAACTTTACTCCTTAATATAAAATAAATCTTTATGTTAATGAAAAATGGAAGAGGTCTATGGTGCCGTGATAAGAACGTTCGATTTGTGATGAGAGAGAGCAAGATTTGCAAGGGCCGGTCATAGGATGGGTAACCAAAATTTTATCTCGATTTCCTCAGTTTTGCCGTTGGTCTAATCAATCCACAATGGGCCCGTGAAGGCCGTGGTCCAACAGTAGGCACATTAGTAGATCATTCAATACAAGCTAAGTTATAATTAAAAATGAGAAAACTACACCCTTAGAAATAGTTTTTGTTTCAATCAAAACGTGAATATAATTATTACGTTTTTACACTTCCATTCGTAATAATACACTTGTTATGGGGAAAATTGTTATATGTAAGTCACTTCGTAGCCAAGGTTTTTCAAAGTATTTTTATAATAATTTTCGTCTTCATCATAATGGTGTGTGACTAATTAATTAAACATTGTTTTTACCCGCAATATGGTCCTTATCTATCTCATTGACGGACACATTTTATATCTCGTTTTCTTTATTATCTCTACGTACAGCTCTCGGCTAATTCTTCTGGAACAGCCGTAGGTCAGGTTAAAAGAGTATTAGGTAGCGGGTTCGTTTTCCATCTGGGGATGTCTTAGACGCATTTGTTTTTTTAAGGTGAAATAAAAATATTTTAATGGTTTTTGACTATGAATAATGTTTTTGTTATTAATGTTAATGTTGTTAATGTTTCAATTAAAATGTTAATAATATTATTCGATTATGTGTTTAACTTTAAAATGTTTTACTAATAACTTTAATAATTTTTGAATTCATCTATGATAATGAATTATTCTATGAAAATGAATTATTTAATTCACTTTAGTTTTCTGATAACTTTTATTAGCCTATTTAAAGAAACTCATATGTAAATTGCTAAGGCTGAATTACTCCATAAGAGCAATAGGGAATATTTTTGGAAAATGCTTTTATATGATAATTTACTTCAATATATAACTGTTAAAAAATACCCGGCATCGAAATACTAAAATTTTGTAAGATTTAATAATTGATGAAAATAAGTAATAGCTACGAGCAGTTTAAACACCGGAATTTTTGGCGCGCTTGTCGCGCTCGTCGTACGTCAAAGTAACTAGAGATATGATATTATAAATCTATATAGATTTTGAGTGATTGATTATTATTCAATTACCCAAATCGATTAACAACTAATCGATTTTTTAAAGTATAATAGACATTTTTAATAAATCACATAATTTACCAAATTGGTGAAATAAAAATAAAAGCCTAAAACGTATTTTAAATTGTAATCGGTTGTTTATTTTGCGACATAATACATTGATGTTATTGCATCGATGTTAACTTTTTGTAACAACGACATCCCTATACATGAACATTTTCGTCACATCCGCTTTGACAAGTAGTATGGCGTTTAAATATTTGGAAGTTACCGCATTTATTTTGCACTTTTTAATAATTATTTTCAAGTCGAAAACGAACTAATGTTGAATAATATTTACATAGACTTTATTCTAAAGCAATAACAATCGTTATTAAATATATTTAACCCTTTTTTGAATCAGACGCATATGCCCTATTGGAGTTAAGATATATGTCTAATTTGACAATAACTGTCAAATAGCTTTAACATTGGTCACTATAGTAAAACAATAATTTTAACTAGCGAAGATTGGGTGCAGTGGCGTAACTATACTGTTTGAGGCCCGTGGCAAATTAATCGAATATTGTATTTTTTCTTACTAATTGTCTAATAATAAATGTCAGAAATAAGGATTCTCTTATGACTGGGGGCCCCCTCTAGCTGGAGACCTGTGTCATTTTGCCGACATGCCACCCTGAAGTTACGCCATTGATTGGGTGGTTTTAGTTTACAGTTAAAGTTATGACGTCATCTCACCATTTAAAATTATATAAGTACTAATTTTGCTTAGCGGGTACATACTTTAACATATTTGTTATTGTTAAGAAAGAACAGAAAAATCTTTATTTACCTTAACTAATAATAGACTTATTTACTAATTACTGGAGTCCCCTTTTAAGCATGGCGATGCCTGTACCAGGAGACTCCGCTCTTCAATGGCATGTTTTTTTTTCAGAAATGTATTGTTTGCGGTTTTTGAACCCATAATTTGATTTACTTGATACATTTTTCTTAATTATATCTAAATAAATATTACAAAGTAGTGTGTGTGGGTGTGTGTGTGTAGGCTATTCGTGTGTGATTATGATAGCTCTAAAAAAAGTAAAATTTGAGTATGGAAATAAAGTATGATTGATTATCTATTTGATTGCAAGAGTAATTCAGTATCGTTTTAGTAAGACACTTTGTCCATTTATTTAATGTAAATTTACACTCATTATGAGTTTTTGCGTATATTTGTATTTCTTTATTCATTTTATTATAAAGATAGGCTGATTGTCTGTTGTATTGGAATCTAGCAAAATCTGTTTTTGTTTTAGGGGTTTGCAAGAACCAAATTGACAGTAGGTTGGTTATTCGATAAAGACTTTCAGTAGAAAAACGCCGGCTCTTGAAATACATGACTTTCAGTAATGATCTCTGGGCTCTTTCAACCTCGAGGAACTTAAAGTAATTTGGTGCAACCAACCCTAAAAGTCTTTAGATTGAAAAAATATTAAAAAAAAGTCTTATCGCCTTTTTATTTATTGTATATTATTATTTTCGACTTCGTAATGACATAGTCTTTGTAAATGTTGTTAATTCTGTAAGAGCTGGTAAATTTCTTTCGCTAATTATTCTTATCGGTCAAAGGACGTCCCGAACGAATGATAACTTAAAAATAATGGAGGATTTAAAAGAATGTACTTTTATTAAGTATGTTTGAGTTAAGTTTGTGGGTCTTTAACGTTGATTAGAAATTGATAGTAGTATTTTGCATATCTCTAACCAAAATCTTCTTCATGATTCTGAATTCAAAGTCTAAAACGTTATGCGTCTTGGTACGCAATAACTACAAAATTACAAGTAAAAAATTCTATTAGGTAGTACCAATAAAACAGCAAAACTTAACAATTACACTATTATTTTTAAAATGCAGTCACAACCTCGAACATAATAGCTATATATCTTTCAATCTATATATATCTTTCGACTTAGTTAGAAATAAACATTTAATGTTGACACAAATTATATAAAACGCTTATATAAGATTTGCAATATAGTAATAAATTACTTTGGCCGATTTGTTGATAGTTATTTTCACGATTATACGTTGTACCAATATAAATAATCTCGTTACTGTACTCGAACCCACTAATCTATTTGTTTATAGAAGAACCAAAACTTCGTATTCAGTGGATGATCTCTCTTCGCCGTCGAATGGGTAATAGCAGCAGCCGTGGCTGGGGTGGATCTGGAAACAGGTTTTTTTTTTTAATTATGACGAATATTATATTGAAACTTTATGGTCAAAATATTTTTAAGGTTGAGTGTTGAAATGTGAGCGTTGAAAGTTTAAGGGTTGAGTGTTGAAAAGGAGACAATTTTTTTTCTATGGACGATAGGCACATAACAAATCCTGGCGCTTACTATTAAAACGCACCTCTATTTCTTCTCAATAGATTAATATTTATTTCTTATTATTTAACCACAGCACTGACTTTTTTACAACAATTAATAATAATAGTATAAACAAACATTTTTTTAATAACAAACGATAAGATTCCTTTACGATAACATTGCTAAGAGTAAAACAACAGGCGTTTGAAAGATCGTCATACATTTTTTAAGTTATTTTGAGTTTCCGGTTTGAACAGTGTAATTTGTTGCTAGTTTTCTATACTTAGTTTATGCTTTCTTTTGTTGCAATTGCGATAAGTAAACACTCGCGGAATTTAGTGGGCCTATAAAATATCTCCTTTCTTACCTGAAGTGCTTCGGAAGGAAGGTTAAGTTGGTTTCAGTTGCATCTGCAATCGTTAACGCCTACCAATACACAATAGGCTTAGTGGTAGCCCATTTTCGCAGGACATATAAAAGAGGTCCAATATCCCCACAGAACACAGAAAAGAGGTCTCCCTATTAAATCCATCTATAGGGAAGGCCTGTACCCAAGCAGTAGAGACAATAATATGCTAATGGTGATGATGCTAATATACCCATCGATACAGCATTATTTGCTATAAATAATACCTTAAACATAATTATTTTGTTATACTGTCCCGTAACATAGTTTACCTTGCCTGGCGTCGTACAACCGTCATGTGTAACCCTGCCAAAGTAGAGTTTCTCTCCGTCAGCGGTGGTTCCAGCAGTGATAGCTCCTGGAGGCACCTCGCCGTTAGTACTGAACTGCCAGGAGAACATCGATGGCACCAGCACCTGGAAATACAAAAAATCACCGTCATACAAGCTGGTTGCACATTAAAAGGCTTTCATAAATTCTTAGTTCCTCTGTGTATATCATATCGTGTTATAATAATCTAAGACCGAAATTGTATTAAAAACCAGTTGCCAAATACACAAGCATAAAATATTTTATGTAGAAACATCTGTGTAATAATCTTTGTCATCCACTCTGTGGCAACGTAATCTGTGACATTTGTAATTTGTAAGTGGCACTTCAACATCAAGCAGTCTGAAAGTAAACTCGTAACTGCGAACACGTTTATTCATTTTACCGATCCTTCGTATATATAGAGTCAGATAGTAAACTTACCAATAAGTTAAATATCAACCTATATACTAATAAATAAATACCCAAAATGCATTCGGTAAAAAGGTAATTTTATAAACTATTTCATAACTTGCAATATTATAAAATATATTACTTGAAACTCTAGAAATTCACTTAGAGATACCGTTGTCTTACGTTTAAACACTATAATTGCGCTGTAGCATATTTTGTACAATATCAGTAATATAAAATATTCAAATTGTAAAAGATCTATATCTAATGAATGTGTTATTAGTGACAGGTAGTTCTAGAATTGTATTTTACCTCAAACTGGTCAATTAATACTTCTTGGCCAGCATGGCAGACGTAGCAGGCGTTCTTGGAGGGAATAACTTTAGCAGGTAAAACATCTCCCATATAAGGAGCCCTGCCAGCATAGATGGGTTCTCCATCAGCATCAGTGCCTACCCTTAAAGCACCAGGAGGGATACTCTGTTGGCTCAAGCATGCGGGAACCCACTTATATGTACCTAAAATGATAAATTACCCATCAATATTTTCCAAAAGTAACCATGGTTTTCTTCAGTTTTGGTGCCTGAAAAGAGACAACATTGTTCCGTTAAATAGTTCTTTTCTGGTCAGTTTAATGAGAAAGGATTAGGTAAATTGAATGATGTATTACTATGGATACTATTCAATTGTATTGGTTATAAATGACGTTATATAGTTAATATTGAAAAGTATTAGTTGGGCAGCTGAATTTTTGATAACTAACAACAAGAATTAATTTAAATTTGCTTCTATAAATTTAGTATTAATGAAATGGTTGAAGTACTCGATGATATTTCGGGAACACCAAAAACTTTCTAGATATATAAACGACACAACAAGCTTCGGCCAATACTCTGTATGGTTATAGGAATTACTATTATTTCGCAAACAAACACTGATCTGATTTTCTTTCAATTAGAATGATAATTACTTATAATCATAAAGAATATTGTACGAATGCAACCGTAATATATTGCAAGAACTGTGAAATACATTTTTCTATATAATACATTGCAATGTCAGATATATTTAAAAGGATTACTAGAACAGTTGTTTATCCTATTTCTTTAAATTTTCTGTTCTAATTAGTACCGGTCATGTCATTTACTGAGTCCAGGAATTCCTTAATCCTAAGAGTAAGTCTGGACAGAGAAACCATAGAGAGGCTTGGCCTAGCATTGGCATACGAACAGAAAGCAGCAAGTGAGATAACACCTTCTTCTCTTAGCAATAATAAACATGATTCCTTAAACATTACATTTATTTTTAAGTGTACTCCAAAGGAGATGCTTGACAATCAAAATAATATGATTCATAATTGTGTTGATTAACAATTGTCAAGTTTTCTGACAGACTAGAATATTATAGCTATTATTGAATGGGATATGGCTAGTTTTGGTCTTTTATTTATTTTCCCGACTCGTTTATTTTGGAATAGAAGTTTAAAATTATTAAATGGACATTTGGGACTCCGAAAACTTTAATCACCGACTTTACCTCTAAAATTAAAGAAAATTAAGCTATTCACACTTTAATAGCAGTGCTTAAAAAGGATGATGATGAAAGTCCCGTGAATAACAAAAGCTCTCTAGGTGTTATCTCCCCACCATCCAGACTTACTCCAGGGTAGCTCGACCGTCTCCCCAGGGAGGGTCGGCACGATCGGATCCTCCACGATGTTAAGACCTCCACCCGTTGAGGGAGGGTGTGGATAAGGGTAGAAGTAAGCGGGGTGCATCGGGTAGTATACTACCCCCGGTGCCGGCATCATGTGTGGGTACCCTGGTGGGGGGGCGCCTGGGGGGACACCGGGCATTGGAGGTGGTTGCCCGTAACCATAATAAGGTCGTCCTGGACAAGATATTTTTTTTATTTCAGTAGGGTTATTGCTCTTATTTTGTATTGCATGAGATTAGACATTTCAGTTTTTGTTTCTTTATTTTAGTATTTTGTAATTCAGAAGGTCGATTTTATATTTAACAGACTAATGTCTGCTGCTGTCAATGATATGTATAGTATAAAATCTAGTCGCTTCACGCTGTCTGTGCGATGAGATCGTTTACACTTCACAATGAATTTTAAATCGGTTTTCGTGAATATATAGAGGGATTATGGAAAAAAGTTTTTATTTATAATACGGGATCACGCGTTCGAAGCCGCTGGCGGAAAGCTCTCATAATTAATACTTAAATATCGGAACTTACTTTAGCCCAATGTGTTACTAATAAGACAGACATAATATATTTTTTATATTGTTATTTAATATAGCGGCAAAGAATTTATAAACTTCTAATCTAATGTGATATAATAATACTTTTAATGAACAAAATAATACTACTGTGCAAGAAATAATCAGTAAAATGTAAGGTGTAAATGTGAATAACCATACCTATAAACTGCTTTGTCTTGAATGACTGACTCACGGATCATATCTTAAGCCGCTGATAGTAAAGAACTAGAGACCTCACACATAGAGGCGTGTTTTTTGTATCACGTAAGAATCCAATAAGAATGGAGCAAAGTGAATCCTTGGTCTAATCTACTTCAAATTTTGCATAAAAATTCATTGACAGAATTGATTGAAAGTGATTTTGACACATGCGTTTCCAACTTAATGAGGTTTTATTAAAATAAAAAAGTTGAAGTCACATTAAAGTTTGGCCAAATGCAATACTATTTAAAATTGGAATTTTAAATATCTTTAAAGATAATTTAAATCGGATTAGAAATCAAAATTTAAGTTATCTAAGTATTTGTTCTTGGATATTTGAATGGAAAACTTACGGAAACAATTGGACCGATATCAAAAATTCTTTCTCCTGTGGGAAACTAAATCCTTCGCGAGTAACATACGGCAAAGTCGCGGGAAAACAGCTAGTTACGATATAAGCGAATATTAGTGAGAAGTATACTTCAACTTATAAAAAAAAATAAGTACTTATAAAATACTAAACCATCGTTTAAATGTTTAAATAACAAAACGTTCTAGACTTAGTTTACAATACTACAAAACGTCTAGGTTAAGAGAAATACTGTAAAGATGACTATAATTTTGTACACGGAAACAGAAATATTGTTGACACAAGTTTACATTTTGTAAGCAATACAATTACATTTCTGTTATTTCTGGAATTGTAATCAGCTCTGAAAGTATATTTATCATTACAAGAAAATTTTGTATTTTAAAAATCTACAACACGAGTTATGATGAGCACTGAACATACGTTTATAATTACAATATATTTAGTATAGAGAACAATCAGTGATGTTGCATTTGCAAAACTTCGCGCGGCTCGGCGGCGATCGAGATGCGGGGGGTGAGGGGCAGGGAACTTATTGCATCACCTTATTCTTTCCTTTTAGTCGCGCGCGCCGTATACTAATAGTGCCCGCCTATCGCCGCCATTACGCTTCCTAATCTTGTATTAAATTGAAATGGACGAAGACGTCAGAAACTTACTTATTGCTTGGGGTCTCAGCGATTATGTGAATGTGTTCTCTGGTAAGTTTCATTTATTTAATATGTACTCATTAGTATTTTAAAAAGTATTTTATTTACGCCTGACTTTTTAGATTACATACTTAGGTACTTATAATGACACTTATATATCGGAGCACGCAGAGCCCTACGGTGGAATTCATACAAGCGGCCACGTCTGACGAGTAGGCTAGATGTTTTTATTGTGTTACTGAGTAGTGTGATTATTAGAGTAGTGACATGACAATTGACAAGTGCACATCAGCCCGTCGCCTCAATAGAGTATTTAAAATGCCCTTACCCTTAGTCTAATACCTACATCTTGCTTGGGAATTATGGCAGCTGTTTTTCTTTTTCTCCCAGACCTGCGTATGAGTACATAACTTTGTAGATAGGTATACAAAATGTTATGTTGTAAGATGTAGGTGAGACTGGGATAGAAAAGCCAATCCTTACCTGTTATTTAGATATTAGGTACCGGGCTGACTGATCTATATATTTTTTGTTATTATGTATATTTAATTTCAGAAAACTACATTACGATGGATTGCTTAACGCTGTTGGACTCGCATATGATTAAGGAGCTCATACCACCAATTGGACATAGAATTAAATTTGTTACAAATTTTAACAATTGGAAGACCTTGATGGGTTCTGAGAACGACAATCAATCCAATCAATCACAAGTAAGAATTTGATTTACATATTTTTAATTATATTATTTATTAGGTCATCATCATCAGCATCATCCGAGTGTATTCTCGGTTGCATTCTCAGCAGTAATGCTTCAGAGCTCTTCAGCTGATTTGACGTGCTTACTGGTTTTTACACACAGCTGTCTGACCTTCGTAACCAAAAGGGTAGACCAAATTTATTTTTGTAAAAACTTATTTAACTTTCAATGTATGTACAAGTATGTAACTATGTTTGTTTGGGTGGAATCTTGCAAGCTCAATTAGAAGCACTTACTCTTGGGTGAAAAAGCTGAAATTTTGCCAGCACATTCATTTTATAGCATGAACTAGCTCATATCATAATAAAAGCTTGTCACAATTTCTTTTTTGTAAAACTTATTAATTAAATACTAGATATTGTGTGTATAACAACTTTTTGTTTTTTTTTTGAGGCCTGACAACATCTTTGCACATTTCCTAAAAGATTATGGGTATGTTATGCGTTTCGGTATGTATATACCTGTCTATTTGTTACAGAATCTGACTGACGACCCTGATTATGTGGACTTATTATCAAATAAACATCGTCAGCCTCTAACAGAAATTGACAACTTTGAAATCCAACAATTCGAAAATATCAATACACCAGTCTACAACACATCTACACCGATTCAATTATATAAAAAACCTGATGATACACGAAATTCAAAAAAGGTAAAGTTAAAATAAATACACACTTGAAGTTTTTTATTAATTTTATTCAGAATGGGTTTGCTCTTACCCTCAATCTAGTCCAGGGAAATAAAAAATGAACAAGAGGACGAACAAATCCGGAACTACACTCAACCCCCGCGCCATCGATGCAATAAAGCAAAGCTGTTTAGCCCTGAATCCAACGGTGGTACACACAGCTGTCTGACCTTCGTAACCAAAAGGGTAGACCAAATTTATTTTTGTAAAAACTTATTTAACTTTCAATGTATGTACGAGTATGTAACTATGTTTGTTTGGGTGGAATCTTGCAAGCTCAATTAGAAGCACTTACTCTTGGGTGAAAGAGCTGAAATTTTGCCAGCACATTCATTTTATAGCATGAACTAGCTCATATCATAATAAAAGCTTGTCACAATTTCTTTTTTGTAAAACTTATTAATTAAATACTAGATATTGTGTGTATAACAACTTTTTGTTTTTTTTTTTGAGGCCTGACAACATCTTTGCACATTTCCTAAAAGATTATGGGTATGTTATGCGTTTCGGTATGTATATACCTGTCTATTTGTTACAGAATCTGACTGACGACCCTGATTATGTGGACTTATTATCAAATAAACATCGTCAGCCTCTAACAGAAATTGACAACTTTGAAATCCAACAATTCGAAAATATCAATACACCAGTCTACAACACATCTACACCGATTCAATTATATAAAAAGCCTGATGATACACGAAATTCAAAAAAGGTAAAGTTAAAATAAATACACACTTGAAGTTTTTTATTAATTTTATTCAGAATGGGTTTGCTCTTAACCTCAATCTAGTCCACGGAAATAAAAAATGAACAAGAGGACGAACAAATCCGGAACTACACTCAACCCCCGCGCCATCGATGCAATAAAGCAAAGCTGTTTGGCCCCGAATCCAACGGTGGTCCAGAACCAGATGGCCTTAGCATACCACTGCTGTTTGGGATCTGCGGGCCATAGCTCCAAAGTTATGGTCACTTTTCCATCAATGAGGCACAAGGACTTACAAAATTTTGATTGATTTTTTGGTGTCCTAATTAGACCCACTTCTTATGATGCTAGGAGGAAGATAGATCCCATCCACCCCAAAAATTACCTAACATTTATAAATCATAATATTTTTATATATATTGCATTTTCAGACTCTTCTAGAAATCCTTAACGATAAGCCAGAGGGAAAAATGCTATTAAAATTATACCAAAACGAGGGTGTGTTAGATAACAATGCACGGAATAAATTATGTAACATTATAATAAAAGAGTTACTTGGAAATGAACCAAATGAAGCGAAAGTAACACATGAAACTATTTTATATATGGCACGGCAAATAAAGGATATTTTTAAAAAGGAAAATATAAGCACATACTTTATTCCCTATACTCATAACAAGAAGCTAAAAATAAAAAGATGTGCTAAAGGAAAATTATATGACTGTCTGAATAATAGAAAAAGGGAATACCGTGCTGCTAAAAAAAAGATAATTTGTAGTAATAATATGGAACTTGAAATTGCAGTAGGTGAAACTTCTTTGATAGATACAGGTAGGACCCTTTTTAGTTGTGCTTAATATTTTTAACTAGCTTTTGCCCGCGACTACGTCCGCGTGGCTTCTGTAGTCTATATGTTGACCCAACCTCTTAGTATTATTTCATGCAAAATTTGAAGTAAATCCATGCATTACTTTTTGAGTTTACATACATACAGACAAACAGACAGACAATACTTATAAAAACTGTATCTTTGGCTTCGATATCGATTGTAGATCACACCCCAAGTATTTTTTTTTACAAAATATTCAATGTACAGTTTTGACTTTCCTACGATTTTATTATATGTATAAATATTTGCTACCAGTTCCCACTTCAGGGACATTAGGCATTAATCTGTTGGTGCCAAGTTGATGAATCATATTATATTTTCAGAAAATATTCATAAAGACCTTGAGTGGCTTAGAAAATCCAGCGAGCCTTGGAAAATAGCTGAAGAGAAATGGAAAAATACATCTAAGATTAGACTTGAAGAGTCAAAAAATATTACAGTATCTGACTACATGAATGAGTACCCTGTTTTAAAAAAGCCGACAGGGTATCAGCTACTTCTAATTGATTTTGAAACACTTTATCCAGACAAGTCACAAAGGCTGTATGAAACGTTTATCCTTTATAGGAACAAAATACTCGATTTGGCACAAAAAAAAGCAAATAAGAATGTGGAAAGTCCCATAAATAAACTGCTTACTGAATATGAAGCATTGAAAGGTAAGTTACATTGAAAGATTACTATACTCCAACATTATTTGTTATTATAAAAGTAATGCTAATTCACTCCAGTTTTTGGTACTCAACCATGCTCGTCCTTCCTTCGCCGACCTTCGCCGTGTTCCAGGTTGCGCTCCATGGCCCACGGCATGGCAAATGGCCATGGCAAACGTTGAGTTTAAATTCATGTTAAAGACCATGTTTGTGCACTATATGTCAGGATAGGCAGAATAAAAATGTGGATGAGTTAGCGTTTAAGCGATTGATTAAAAGGTTGCAAGTTGAAGTAACGTAAAAATTCAATTATGTATGACTATTGATTATAACACAATAATGCAATTTTTTTGTTTCAGGAACAAGTGACAACAAAAGCGAAGAGGGGAGCAACATCGTGGTTTTAATGATGTTACCATTATTGCTCAGCTCCCCCCTAGTGAAATCAAAAAAATCTAGCTGGCGTCCATCGAAACAAGAGTCAATGGAAGGTTTCATTACTCATGTTCCTCGAGAAATGGATATTCTGGAGACAATTACCAAAAGAAAGGAAAAATTTTTCAAGATTGGGGTAACATTTCAGCCAACTATTGTCATAGTCGGTCCAAGAGTTTCAGACATTAAGAAATACTTTGTGCTGGTAAACAATATATTCTACACCGTTCATTCAATTTTACAAGCTGTTGATGTATGTTTCAAATTATATCTAGCTCTCAATTGTACATACCCTATTGAATGCGAGAACGTCTGGAACTTGATACAAAAAGGATTTTATAATATAAAGACTGAATGGGATAAACAATATTCATCTGTAAACGCATTTTTGACTGACCTAGGTATATCAGAATAATATTATTTTAATAACTTCAGTTACTAACTAGCAACATGCCAAAGTGTTTTATATGTCAATGGACCCTGTCTACTGCAAAAGATTTGTGTAATCACATTAAATATATACATCGTAATCACAAAGACTATTACGAGTGCATTGAACAAGGATGTAACAGAAAATATTTCTTAAAAAATTCTTTTAAAAAACATTTAGCAACCTGTCACCCCAGTAATATTAATTTGACGACTTATACGATAGAAACTGAAACTAATTTAAATAATGAAAACATGGCTAATAATCGTTCAACATTGACTTCTGGTGATATAAGTGAAAACCCTAGTACTTCACAAAATCTTGAAACTAATAATTCAACCTTGACTTCGCCACCAACAGATTTCTCCATTCTTTTGATAAAATATTCGGCTTCACTATATGCAAACCCTTTGATTCCCAGAAATGTTGTAGAAAATGTTATGACAAATACGAGTAATTTGTTTCATAACTCTGTCGTAGTACCTTTTACTAATATGATATCTTCATGTTTATCTCAAGGTCAAATTTCAAAAGAATGCTGTGATCTTTTTAATCAACATTGCAATTCTATCACTGATTCTTTTAAACAGTTAGATACTGAGAAAAAGTGTTTTGCCTCATACAAAACAAAAGGTTCATTAATTTTTCCTGAGCAGTATTTCATAGGACAAAGATTAGAATGTAATTCCGCCAATAATACTTTCAATTTGGTGCCAGTCACTGCATCTGGACAGTTAATACCACTTCGTTTAGTTTTAAAAAAATTTTTTGAGTTAGAAGGTGTAGCCAAGGATACCATTCAGTATCACATAGCTCTATTAAATTCTTCAGATAGTGATATAATCCAAAATATCGTACAAGGTTCTGAGTGGCAAAAAAAAGTCAGTACACATCAAGGTCAAATTGTATTACCGCTAGCAATTTATTTCGATGATTTCGAAGTAGGAAACCCTTTAGGAAGTCATGCAGGCATACATAAATTAGGTGCAGCATATGTATCGATTCTTAGTCTTCCACCGCATTATACATCAAAATTGCGTAATATTTTTTTGGCCTTACTTTTCCATTCATCTGATCGGTCAACATTTGGCAATAAAATGTCGTTTAAACCACTTATTTCTGAATTAAATTATTTAAAGCATCATGGTATTCAAATTAATGTTCCTAGATATTCTGGTAAAATTTTATTTGATGTCGCCGTTCTTCTTGGTGATAATTTAGGTATCCACACTATTACAGGTTTCAGTGAATCTTTCTCCAGTAACTTTCCATGTCGAGTTTGTAAAATACATAAAAGCAATCTTAAACATACAGTTACGGATGACTACAGATTATATCGCAATATGGAGAATTATTTAGAGGATGTTAATATTAACAACGTATCAGTAACTGGTATCAAAGAACCTTGCATATGGCATGATGTTGAAGGATTTTCTGTGCTAGATAATGTTGGGGTAGACGTTATGCATGATTTATTAGAAGGAGTATGTAAATACGATCTATGTCTTATGCTGAGTGCGTACATTTTTGAATTGAAGTTATTTACAATACAAACATTAAATGACAGAATAAGTTCTTTTGACTATGGCCCTGATCGAAGAAATCAGCCCCCATGCCTCTTAGCCGATCACCTTCTTAATAACACAATTAAAATGTCAGCATCAGAAATGTTGTGTTTTGTACGATATTTTGGTCTACTCTTGGATGATTTAATTCCAGAAAATGACCATCTTTTCGAATTGTATGTAACTTTAAGAAAAATAATCGATATTGTTACTTCAACTGCTTTACATAAAAACTCATGCGAATTACTTAAAAGTTTAGTATCAGAGCACAATACAATTTATTTACATTTCAGTAAAAAAAATCTCACCCCTAAATTCCATTTTCTATTGCACTATCATGACATGTTGCGAAAGTTTGGCCCATTGGTTTCTATATGGTCGATGAGATATGAAGCTAAACATCGTATTTCAAAACTTTGTGCAAATGTGTCAAGTAGTCGACGGAACATATGCAAAACTTTAGCTATTAAGCATCAATTACTATTGAACTACACATTTCTGAATGATGATTTATATAAATTAATAGAAACTGGCGTAAAAAAGTGTATATGTGAAAATAAAAGACAAGAAATTGTAGAGAAATTAAACATTGTTGCTCAATTTATTCATAAGTGCAATTGGCTCATAATAAAAGGCACTAAATATACATCTAATATGTTGTTGAGCTTAGATGTAGTAAATGACTACATACCTATATTTGGATTAATAGAAAATATTTATATTACTGATAAAAATATGGTTATTTTTGAAGTAAGTTCTTTCGAAACCTTATATTTTGATGAAACATTGTATTGTTATGTTGTAACAGACAAAGAAGAGGCAACTCTTTTTGTTAATTATGAAAATCTTTATAGTTATATTCCCAATACATTATCAATAAGTCGTGATTGTAAAGCCAAATATGTAACAGTAAGATCCCCATTATGATTGTTAATTATAGAGACATTGTACATGGCAATTTCATATTATATGTCTATAGATTCTTAAATAGGTATTAAAAGAAACTGTCAGTTATTTTAAGTTGAATATGGTCCCATAAAGATATTTTTTGTATTTGAGGAGTAGAGCCACCTCTGAGCTGTACGTTGCTGAACAAAACATTGGGTTTTAATTTACAAGTTCTGATTCTATCAATAGATGGTCCTTCATGGTCAAATTTCGAAAACATTTTTCGCTCCACGTACAAAACCATCGGTTACGGTGCATCGTTTGCAATGACACGGTCTCCGATTTGCATTAAAAATTGTGTGTATTTTGTCATTTTACTTAATAAAAGTGTTGATTATTATTCTTGTTTGTTTTTCTTTTATTGGCATTTTCTGCCGGAATTGTCGTGTATCGACGTGATTGCTTAAAGTTTAGCTTTTATTTCTCAGTAAACTTAAATGAATCTTGTGAAATAAAAGCACATTTTATTAAGCAATCACGTCTTTACCGACAGTTCCGGTGGAATAAGCCGACTACTTTTCCTGGACTATTTTACAAAATAAGAAGTTACCTACACTATACTCGATTGTTGTCATTACAAGTCATTTTGTAATGTAAACGTATCATTCTGTTCCATTTATAATACAATATTTGTCAGAGGCACACAACAAATCGTATTAGTAATTTTTTTTGTAGTAAATAAAACTATGAAATTCAGTAAATTTAATTAACCGTTTATATGTGATATACAAAACTTTTGATTAACAACACAAACCTTCTCGTTGGTAGGACAAATTAAATAGTAAAATTAACAATAACAATGTGACAAATACAATTCATGTTTAACTAGAATCATTGTGTAACGCTTACAATACGAGTGGTCGTCACATATAGAGCAATAAATATTGTAATGGTAACCAGAATATCGTTACACATGTATTCGTAACAATATCGCGAGAGAACGCACTTGTAGTATTTGTTTTACAGCTCATTGTTTACTTGTGACAATAATAGGGTGACGTGACGTAACAGTGACGTTACAACATATGTATTACCTAGCATAATGTTAAAATTGATATTTTACTTTTCTCACAAAGATGCCAAAAATCCCCTACTTTAGGTACCTACTGCTCTGTCTTACTCAAATAAATCCAACTTCAAAAAGTGAAGGTAACATTTAAAGGTAAATTACTAATGTAACAGCGCTGTGTGCGACGATTTTTTTTAATAGATCTGCTGATTTGGCCAAAACGAGAATTATCAAAATTTTGTCTAAAAATAACTAAATCACTTTTAGAATTGGCTTATTTTGTAAATTTTATCTAGTAATGATTTTTTTAATATAGGGTAAATTACCCCTTTCTCCATCCAACGTAAACAAACTTTTATATTTTACAGTATGCTATATCTCGTATGAATTGACATAAAAATTCGGAAGATTTCGAACCGTATTTATAATTTTGTTAAATTTTTTCGTAAAAATTTATTTGTACATCGGATGCAACGTCAGGTTTTACCTCCGTTGCATCATAAATTATCTAAAAATTCCGTTCCTCTGCATTCGTATTAGCATTCCGATAATTAACGATTTTTTTTCCCAGAAACTGAATAGGCCTCAAGTGTCATGTTATTTTGGGTAGCTCGGTGGCGTAGTAGATAAGCGCTGTGACCCGCGATCGTTGTTGTTAAACTAAACTTTCGCAAGTCAGTAACGGGATGGATGACCAAAAAATTATTATCTCGAGCTACGCCGTGCTTCGGAAGGCACGTAAAGCCGTTGGTCCCCGCTGGCATTTGCAGTCGTCAATACCATCCGATCCGCATTGGGCAACCGTGGAGGGTTATAGCCCATCCTCCTTAACCATCCATAAGGAAGGCCTGAGCCCTACGGTGGGGACGTAAAAGTGCTGACGATTATGTCATGCTAATTCGTACGAGTAATTTTATATTATCACAGTAAAATTTACTAATTTTATATTTCGATAAGATATCGATAAATCCTTCGTACAAATGATGATTAAACGAGACATAATAAATAATATCTAAGGTATTTTTACGATCAAATTATTATATTTTATAGGTACTATAAGGTGCCATCTCTGTGGAGGCCCCGGCTTCTATTCAGAACTTTGTTGTTTCAGATATTCCATAATATAAAGGCATTAGCTGCTCATCTTGAGTCTGAGCAATCCATCTACATATCATACATGCATAGGTTATCTGATATATCAAGATGTTACTTAATGACATTTGATACAGTCTGTAATTTGCGTTTCGTTATTCACATAGCTAAATATTAAATCTAGAAACTACCCACTGTGTCGATTACTATATTTGTAGCGATCGAGAATTCATGGATAAATCAAGGATTATTACTATCAGTGCTGATTATTATATTATCAGTAAAACTTCGAAGAATATTCTTATCAACGTTACATAAAAATAGGCCACATCATCACTTGAATATTTGTGAAAAAAAAATATTTTTATTGTTTGGCACTTGATAATGGGTGTTGTTCGATTTCTACATGACATTTGCTTATGAATATCCATTTATATTGCTCATATTCGCATTATTAAAGATTTACATGACAATAATTGAACAGCTTTAGTTACACAACTGACATCATAACAAAGGATAAAGTATAAAATATTTTTGTAACTAAGTATATTTTCCATTAATAATACTGTCGGTTGTATATTAGTTTAAAATCTTTCTGCAATGGGGGAGAAGGGGGGTAGGAAGCAAGACTGGTATAATGTCACGAGCTCTCAATGGAGTCACTCGATTGGCTTCGATTTTATAAACATCGATGGTCTAATTGCCTATTTTTAAAAATTTACACAATCCCTTTAAAAGTGAAAGAAAGATTAATGAAATTATGCAAATTAAAACTAACAATTGCTTTCAAAAGGGATGATGGTAAAAATGAACAAAACTTAATTATAACTTAGTTACTTAAAGTAATATTTGCTATCTGATATTTGTCAACGTTAGGCAATTCCAATTAACGTCAAATTATATGATGGCGTTTATTTAATACCTTTTAAAAATATCGTAATTGATTTCATATGTCAAATAGTTATAACGTTAAGTTCGTGAATATCTTTCAAATTTCAAATTCATAGATTTTAAAATTATACAATTAGGCCCGATTTAAATCCTAAACACAATGGATTTCCCCGTAAGCGCATAAAATTGTGGGTTAATGCACACTTGATGAACAAATAGTACACAGCTTACCTAGAAACATTAAATTCATTTGATTCAAACTGACGAAAAACAAATCGAAGCCGATCGAGTGTCGCGGTAGACCTGCTATTAAAATGTCGTAAGAATAGAAGCCTCACCTTTACTTAGAGCTTTGCTATGCTTGCAGTCAGTTGCACAAACGTCCGTTAAAATTTCATGAGTTTAAAGCGACATTACCGATACAAATTTGATATTAATTAGAGCTTAAAGGCGTCATTAAACCTTAATGTACATTTCTGCAACTGACCGTTAGAGCAATAAAACGTTTATTACATTGAAGTAGGTTTTACTCGATTGACCCTCTTATGCTACGACAGCGCTATATGACGCTGTAAATTTAAAACAATAGCGCTACGTTAGTATACAGCACTTTAGTAAAATTTGCCACGGGCCTTAAACAATATGGTTAGGCTTATCTATTATATACATAACCTAAATAAGAATGAAGTTAGAATTAGCCTAAATATCTAAACTATTTCTATGTACCTCTTTGTTAATTTCAAGCTAATGTGGAACAATTATGTGTTATTATGTAAGTATTAGAATGAAATGTCCATTATATTAAGACTACATTTGGCGCAACATTCATTATGATTTCAAAGAACGTGATTCCTTCTCACAGTAGCATTTAATACGTGTTTATATTGTGCAACTTTTCGTAGTTTAATTATGAGTCAATACTTGTCCTATTCTTAATTTAACACTTTATTTATCACTGTTATCATTCACTATCACTTACCTGCCATTTTGTTGTGTCGGCTGTACGTTCAGACTGTCATATCAACATACATGCATTTACCTTTTATATTTCAGTTACAACAAAGTTATCTTTGCAGGTGGCGTCACGAGACAACAGCGATAACGGGAACCTTTTTTCAAATAACAAGAGTAAATTTTTGTCTGTGGCGCCCTCTTTCAACTCCATTTTAATGTTGTAAGAGGATGTTCTGCTTGTAATCAGCTAATGTGGTGTGTCAATGAGGAATACCAATAAGTATAGTCTAATATTAATCATGATATATGTTGGTATAAGATAACACTATATTTCTAATGACAAACATGTAAAGATTTAAGTAAATAACAAAGGTATTGACGAAAACTTTTATACCTTTTCGCTACAATTTTATTTTTTGTTTTAACTCTTCTTATGGCTTTTCCATATTTCGTTGACTGCAAAGGCGAGCAATTTGAATTTATATATCATTTATTCTAGAAATGAACTTTTTTGAGTATACAAATATGCTCTCTATTTTATGGTCCATGCCCCGGACGAACGAGCAGTATAGAATATGATACGCATGCGTCGCGTCGGTAAAATTTTCGAATACATATACAAATGTCTCGGAAAGATGTTTAGACTTAATTACGGAAACTTTATAAAGAACTGCTGAGTATACAAAGAACCAGTTGTAGAGCAATTCTGCTAATATGAGCGTGATTATGGAAAGTTAATAGCGCTTCAGCTATAATCCTTTATGATACTTTCTTGATTACAAAATAATAAATATTTATGTCACCATTGACGTTAGATGAAGACATTGCACTAATAATAATGAACTTCGGGCAGATTGTACAGTGGCAAAATGTATGTATCTAGTTGTGATCCTATTGAAATGCTATTATTACGTATAAATTATCAGAATAGACGTCCTGAACATCGATTGTTTGTGAAGAGAAATAAATAAGTAAGTAACATTTTCAAACTTTATTAATATTTCTCCTATAATGCTATTCCGTTATAAAAACAGCTTACAATATTAAATAAAACCTACATGACAAGGTAATTTCAATAAAGATCTACACCGTGACAACGCTGATGTCGTCTACAAGTTTGAGGGTATTTTTAACAGAATAGCTTATCAGAACATGCTTAATAATAAACAGATTCGTAATAAATTATCGGTTACATATCTTCAGATTCCTTATAATTTTCTGTGATATTTTCAGGAAGTCTTCGAAGTACGTATCGTTCTTATTTCTTCTGTACAATGTATAATCGTCAATCGAGGCGTATGTCATCACCAAATCGTTTAGAATATCAGTGATGATATCACGGAACGTGGTTGGGGTAGGTCTGTATTCAGCTTTAGCGGTTTCTAAATTATGTATAACCTGGAAAACAATTTTTACTCGTTCGCTCTTATTGTAACTAACAGTTCTTTGAAACGATTTTATAACTAAATGTTATGTTAAAACGTAAGACTTTTATCACCTAATATTTTATTTTTTAATTGCACCTACTAACTAATAGTGGCTTTTTACCATGAATTTACAACATTGTTTAGTTTTTTATATAAATTGGTGTGAACTAATTTGGGACATGGTGATGATGAACAACTTCGTGTAGATAGAAAAATAGTAATATGGAAATAGCTGAGATTCTATTGGGACGGGATTATTACTGTTGTTCTCTTATTTCACAGATCAAAGTCTTACACTATTACAGCAAAAAATATATTTCGCACATGGATATTAGAAATACTGGTGATTTTTTCTCAAGTAATTAAATTATTGGTATAGATTACGTCACAGATGTTAACAAAATGTTATCTTACAGGGTGCATACAGGTTATGTTTCAGAGTGGGTCCAACTATTCAAATGGTTCGATAAAGACAAAGAAATTTACAATCAATTTCAAATCGGTAATGCTAAGTGTCCTGGGGATGGGCATAGTAGTTTTCTGATATAATCAATACCTTTCCATCCCCCTCTCAAACAATTCAAAAGTCAGAGGGAATCTAGCAAAGTTAAAAATTACGATATCACTTCTCACCTTGGCACTCCAGTCTTTAAGAGTTTCACCTAAAGAAGTAAGTTTCTTATTCCTGCCGACATCGCGAAGATTCTTCTTTAATATTAATAAATGGTGCTTCCTGCAAGTCTCTGGAATAAGACGAATCGAAATATTTTTTTTAAAAGAATACCACAAGTGTACAACTTTGATTGTTGACAAGCCTCGTAAAGACATTGAATAAAAGCTCTTGTTTGGAGACAGAAGCGATACTGTCAATAATTCCCAAATATATCAGTTTAGGGTATTTCGACAGACTAAACAGAATCACATCATACATATAATGCAAAACAATTTGATCTAGATATCTCTGTCGAGACTGCAGCCCCAGGGTGAGTACTTCACTAATATAAGAAACGCTTCCACATTTAAAGGAAAACAATTGGACTTGCGTTTGGATGCACAAGTATGAATTCAACGTAGTCTAAAATAGAAATCGAGATCAATCTAAACATAACATTTATAAGTGCAGTACTCTAGTCTCATATTTTGGTGACGCAATGCTGTTATAACGTGATAAAATCTAAAATAATAATGATTAAAAGTCAAATGTACAGCACTTGCGAATTCTGTTACAGTTAAAATTCGTATTGTATATTTTTAATCTCCAAATCGACTTTAGAGTATAAAATGAGTTAAAGTCCCTTACGCCTTGTCCTATCACATATTTTACTAAAGCATCTATAAAATATGGTAATAACTTGCCTCGTTCACATTGTGCTTCGTCATCTTCAAATGGGCAATCTGGTCTTTCATTACAAACCCATTCTAAAGGTATAGTCATATTATTCGAAGTACCCTTACACCAATATTTTGTAAACTTCGATCGAACACTGCAAGCTTTTTGGCAATTTTTCGGACAATTCGCTGCTATACACTGATTTTTCCTACATATGCATCCATCCCGAGGCGGAGGGATCTTATTATTACCAACATTCGAATGTTTCAATGCCAATACTAATTTTTCATTGATCGATTGCAGAAATAGTTGGGCTTCCTCTAAATCTCCCATAAAGTAAGAACTTTTTATAATTTCCTCGTATATTGCAAGTAAAGCCGAAAAACACTCATCCCTGACATTTTTAACGTTCATAACATCAATGTTTGGGGATAGAGTTGTGTTTTGCAGCAATTTTACGGCATTGTAAAACAGCATCAGTTTCCCAGATACAATTAAATATTCTTTACTTCTGCTTTTTGTTCTTACCAATTTTAGTATTTTGTCATAAATTTTATTCGCTTCGAACTTATTTATTGAAGCACCTGTAAATTGAAATAATTATGAAAACGTATTATAGATCCTTATTATGAAATATTATTTAGTATTATTATCACATACCAGCGTCACAGCCCATTTCGTCACTCTCGTCATAGCAATCAAGTTTTCCGTCGCATATATTATTTAAAGATATACTTGTGCTTTCATCTACTGCATGACATCTCCATCTAGTCAAAGTATATTTAAACCAACAAATCAGTTTACAGGAATCAGAACAATAAATATCACTACAAAATGATTTACTGCAACTGCATTTCTCTACAGGTACTTTCAGTTCAACCACATGTTCGCCTAGCGAGAACAGTTGCGAATTCACATCCACTTTATTTCGATTAGGAATTTCATTCATACACAGAGAACTATCTAAAGCAATGGCTACAGCTTCAATGATTACCACTATTTCATTTACAGTAGTTTTAATCAGTTTGTTATCATTTATTTGCTCAATTACATTAAATCCTGTATACTTCCCTAAGAAATTTCGTTGCTTCTGTAAAACATTATCAAATAGTTCCTTTTGTCTAACTACAACTGTGTTATCGCTAGATAAGAAACAGTTTTTTAACATGTAAGTTTCAAGATGTGAAATAATCCGTGTAGATCGTTGTATTCTTTCCATGGCTGAAAAGTAATCCATCTATTTAGAAAAGTAATAATTATTGATATATTTATCTACTAAAAATTAAGTTTTTGCAACTATAAATTACCATGATTTAAACAATTTTTTTCATCGGATCCATCTAAGCAATGAACAACACCGTCACAAATTTTATACAATGGCAATGTATTTCGGGAACATTGATATCTCTGTAGGGATTTAATATCATCACATGTTTCTGACACTGTTTTCTCACAAGAAATAAACGGCGTACTGGCATAATTCACTTTGTATGTCAATGTTGTTCGCATGCCTCCGTTTGCAACTATCACTTCAGTGGAATGCTCTTTGATACCTTTATAGACTTTAGGTGTTTCATTTATATAATTACGAAGCTGTAAAGCTTTTGCAATTGTTTTGTTTTGTGCTATTTTTTTAAACATATTCTTCATTCCACGTGTCAAAATATCAGCATATATTTTTGTTTTATTGCGAACGGAGTGACTTAAACTCTTGTCTTTTTGTGCAATTTCTTTTACTTTTTGCTGTATTTGTTGCATAATTGCAATTTGATTTTGCCTCGTTTTTATATTCTCCGAATGTATATTTGTTATACTCATTATTTTCCTAGCAATTGCATCAACAACACGTTTGTTCGCTTGATTAACTGTAGTGACATTATATTTCAGGCTATTTTTTAAGTCTCCAATTTGATTTTCAGCATTTCTACGAATATCTTCAATATTACTATTATTAGGCATTAGTGCTTTTATTCCATGCATTATAATGTGTACATATTTATCACCTTGGTCACCGAGTTGTTTAGTAGATAGTTTCAACTTATGCTCAATTTTATTCAAAATATCTCTCTTTTCATTAGGATTTGCATACTTTATAGATTCTATAGAAATATTATACACTTTATTTATTATGTTCTGAATCATATTATATTTTTGGTCATCCTTCTCATGTAGTGCTGAAACAGAGCGTATTTTCAACTCATCATCAATTAGAATATTAAAATTTTGAATGGGCACTATTTTTAGGACGTTGCTGCTCATTAAGCGAGGTTGTACAAAATTACCACTTTTAGAACCAATTTTATTCAAAGGTTATATTATGTTAATATTTGCCAGATAAAAATTATTTTATAAAAATTAAACGGGTGAATATTTCATTTTGTGCAAATTGGCTGTCCAGCGATAAAGAATATATAAATTGTTGAGAAAACTTGGAAATAAATCGGTTTTTATAGTTAAATGTGTATTCTAAAGTCAGCAATTCGCAAAAAGTAGTTTTTTTCAATTAGAAACGTATCCAATTTCAAAATAAAAGCCGCAAATCTCGTTACCAGTCGTGACCCTATTCCCATATTCGAAGATATTGAAGCTTATTTAAAAAAAATACCGGTATAATTACAATTTTATTTAATTAAAGGATACAATAATAGTTAGACTATACTTCAAAAATTTATCGTCGTAATCAAAGAAATCACTCGTGCACTTTTCTCTCATTACGATATGTTTAGCTTATTTTTTAATAATAACGTGTCACTGAGCGTTGGTTTTACTTTTCATATCTTTGGGTAGTTCATGGCTTTATCGACGATATCAGTTAACTTATAAAAAGTAATAGTGGCTTTGTACGGTTATGTTCTCCCGTTAAAAAGATGAGGTGTTTTGCAAAATGGTTAATTAACAATATAACCGAAAAGTTTACTCATATCGCCTATATTCTATATATATTTATTTAATTGTTGTGTTGGTGCAAGTATTATTTGGTTCTGTATGTCATAACAAGTGCATATCTACTAAAAATAATGATATGTCATTGCAAATATCTGTAAACCTCATCGCCGTGTAGCTCGTTATTATAAATTACCGTTCCCCTTTAATAGGAATGGGAATTAGACAAATTGGTAGACAAGAAGTCTAAAATAAGGAAAAGCAATGGAATTTGATAAGTTTTTTGCGGAGAAGTTTTAGTTAAATGGTGATTAAACTATGATATGTTTCTTTGGATATTATATAATCTTCGCTGGGAAGCAAGAAGGATACAGATGGACTGGAGTTAAGCAGTCATTGTTTTTTTATACAAATAAATACTCATGTTTGGACTGTACCAAATATACGTCGAACCACTTAGTTTACTCGGCTTTGCAGCTAGTGTGCTAAAATCTTTGAAAGAAAAATGAGGGTTAATCCGATGGAATTTTGTGGGAGTCTTAAGGGGAATTCAGAAATGAAAGAGCTGTATGGATAAATGTATTTTGCTCTGCAATATTGCAACTTTTTATAGCTTTATAGACTTAAAGAAAACATTTGATAAAATATAAATTCTGAGTCATTCCGAGTCAGTCTGAGATATGAACCCTGCCTCATAATAGATAATGACCTAGAAAGCATCTCAGATTCATAATCATTCAGATTGAAATGAAAATTAAATATTCACCCAGATTAATATGATCCATTGTTTGCTAAAGGCAGGAACTTAATTTTCAGTAATTAGCTCAATGAAAAAAATCACAAAGACAATCGCTAAACAGGTTTCTGAAACGATTTTATGACTAATATGTTTCATTTTAACTATATAAAAATACTAGCTTTCGCCCGCGTGGCCCCTAGGGAAAAGTTTAGTGGGATAAAAACTATCCTATTATCTAAGTCAGCTAATACCCTATCTGTATAAAAAATGTTCAGTAGTTTCGGCGTGATTGACGGACATACATCCAAGCATCTATACATCCAAACAAAGAAACTTTCACATTTATAATATTAATAGGATATACAGAAATAGGTTTTCATATCATCTCAATAGGTATTTTTTATAATTGCATTTGTTTTCTTTGTGTGATTAAAATGTGAACGTATGCGAAGATACAAGAAGGCCTTAAGACAGGATTTGTGAAATACAACCCTTAACGGGTTGATTTGGGGTTAATAATTTTTATGAAACTTCGTTCGTGTTAGGCGTTTCAAATTTTACATAGTGGTGTTTATATTATTCTGTATTAAGTAGGCTTCTTTTAATTCCATTAAATGGTTATCAATAGAACTTATGAAAATTATGTAATTTTTACTTCCACAGAAAACGTGAGTTTCTAATGTCAAGTATTTATTAATTTTTATTTTTGTTGGCAATTGTATCATTATAATGTAGATATTCAACAATAATTTGGTTTCTTCTTCAATAAATGACTTTAAGTCTTTATATACAGGTTCCGAAACGTGTATAATGAAAATATTTGTTTTTTTTAATACGAGATAAGAATCGTTTTCTTAGTTTTTAAAAATACTAATATTTTGTCTACAAAATTTAAAGTAATACTTATAAAACTAAATTAAAATTTAAAGTTTAGGAGGTACAATTAACAGTATATCGGGTTATTCATAAATATCTTTATCTAATAAATTATCTATCACAAACAGTTAAGTTAAATACGGATTTCAAACATTTTTAATAATAATTATTTAACTAATTACCTATGTAATGTGCGCGTTTCATGGATACATATGCCAATCATAAACGAATCAATTTTTTTTCATCGATTAATAATATAAAACATCATATTATTATAAGTAGAACACGACTAACCTTACCTCTTTCATTTATAGGTACTGTAACGCCCGTGCACATTACCATAGATAGATTTAATCTCCGGACAATTGATGGTCAATGCTGGCCGCGAATATTTTGAATTAATTTTTTTTCCGTAATAATCTTCAATCAACAATATAGTACTATTTCAAAGTAATTACTTTATCCTATCTAAACTTTTTCAGGACGCCTCCAACATAGGGATAGTTACTTTAAAATTATAATATTTGTTTAATTGTAATACTATATATAAACTGAATAATATTATATAAAAATATCTTTAATTCCATGAAAGAATCCCATATAGTGTGATACTTATACTACTATCTTTTTTTTTACAGTGGCTTTGCGTAACACGTATGATTTAGCTTCCCGTTGGTGAAAGATTATTTTTTATTCCGGCTAGTGGTTTCGGAGTCTATTCAGCGCAAACAAAGAAATATTCCTTCTTGATATTACATTAGTTTAAAATATTAACATTTCTACTCACCACTGCAAAACAATACGGAGCTTAAAACTAAAATAGTCACATTCCATAATATCATTACTTTATGCTTTTATTGAACCTGCGCCTTTTATTGAAAATGTATAATTATTTGTGTTCATGGACTAAGAAATTATTTGTTTTTTCTGTGTCGACGCTTTGAATTAATTAAGTAAAGTATACTTAGTATAGGCAATAAAGATTAAAAATTAATTTCTCGTAAAATAACACGAATTATAATCTCTAATAAAACTTGCATTATGCGACACATGGTTAGCTTGTGCAGAATGTATAATCTACAATATTTGCGTCCGTCGAACCCTCGCCTAGAACTCTAGCCATAACTATAAAAAGTTTTATTGATTCTTTTATAATATTTTTGTTTTATTATCTACATATTTAATCGATGTTTTTGGATGTTGTATTTTTACGAATTATAAATATAACTAAATTAAAATATGCTTAATAAAATTGAATATAGACAAAGCAAAATGAGGTATATGAACTTAGCTGTTAATTTAATATATACATAATTAAAAACATGGCAAGCAAGGCCGCCTACTTTTAATATGAGAGGAGGCAGAATAACTCACAAATAAATTGTAACAGAACTAAAAAAAACTTAATCTTTAGGTCTTCCTTATATGTCGTAGATAGAGTTAGCTCAGATCTTTTACTTGACGGTGCGATGCTTATATTAGAACCACACGCTGTGCCCCAGATTTGAATTCCATAAGTTTTATAAACGAGTAACGTGTCCTCAAGCGTGAGTTTACAGTTTCTTCCCAACATCCAGAATCACTTCCCGAATATAAGGTTAATTTCATCCCGTTTGGCTTGGATGTGACTTTCCCATGTAAGCATACTGTCCAAATATAGTCCCAGATATCGAGGTAGGACACCTTGGGGTAGCTGCTGTCCACTTAATGAGACAAGAGGACAGTTTCCTTTACTAAGGGTAAAAGTCATATGTACTGATTTGACGGCACTGGCCATTATTCTCCACTTGACTAACCATGTATCTATTTCATTGGACATTTATTTCGCGCCAGTAATGCAGTGTCATCTGCGATAGTAGCCGCTGTGATGTCTTCCAGTTTTGGTAGATCATACGTATTAATCGCGTAAAGCATTGGTCCCAACACGCAACCCTGTGGCACCAATTAAAATTAGATGGAATCGGGATGTGCAATTGTCTTCCCTAATTTGGAATATTCGCTCTGAAAGGTATGTTTTAATGATTCCAAAATAAGTGTAAGGCAAGAGCTGTTTTAACTAGATAAATTTGGTATAATTTCTTCAAAAATAGATTAAAAAATGATGCCAAGATATTTTAATAATATTGCGTATATGTATCAATATGCAACTCTGGTTGCCTAGATAAAATTGAACTTCTGTACTTTACATTCAATTGATCTTCGACTGTCTTTCCACTTTTAAGCGGTTATTATTTCTCAGATAGCGATCGACCTCACTGCCTATTTGGAAAAAGTTATAGCTCGAATCTGTAAATATAATAATAGTTGTTTGGTGGCTATTATTTCATTGAGTTTTATTTTGTTTATTATTTACTATTTGTAAATTTTCCACCAGCTTACAGATTACTTCATTCATTATATTGGCACATTATACATTTGTTTAAATGAGTTTCGAGTTATTTTTAATTTAGACAGATCCATTTGCCTTGAATGATTAAAAAATAATTGTCATTGACCATGACATGACAGCTATGCGTAACGTAACAGTGACATAATGTCATCGATGAATTTCTAACCTAAAAATAACACTGAATCTTATTATTACTATCATAAATTTTTATAACATTAAGAATTAGAATCACATCATTTACTATTCAATAGTCATGAATAATTCTTTGATAAAATTATCTAAGGTATGTTTTTGTGCACTTCGTAGTTATCTTTTACTGCTCTCACGAAAGTATTAACGTTCCTAATCATTTATATTACAGTCTCACCTATCATCAAAAAGTCAAATATTACCATGGGCAGCTATAACAGAATCCCATATACACACATCTGCACCTATGTGCAGAGTCGTTTCTGGCAAATATAGAATAACTAAGAAGCGGGACAGGCCACTTACATACGAAATGGCAAATCCACCCCATTACATCGCTCACCGCAAGACATGGAACTCTTGGAATACTTGTAAGTTCAATTTGAACTCTGCAAAAATATAACTAAGTCAGTAAAAAAGAAATGTAATGTTTGCTTTCTGTTGTTACATCAGGATCATGGTTTTATATAATTTGCTGAGAAGTGTTCACATAGATAAAGTCTACCTACAAAATTCACTGTTTGATGATACAAACACCATCTTCCTTTTAAAAATCAATAACATATTACAAAGTAGTGACAAAGCGCTAAGTTACATAGTTTTAAAGCCAAATAAGTTCATATGCCAGATTCAAAACTGCATTTTATATTCAAAATACTGCCGAAATTATAACAGGCCAGACATATTTATCAATTGGTAGGCATAATATATTGAAAAGAATAGAAAATTGATAGTCAATATATAATTCGTATACAATGGTTTTCAGCGAGTTTGAAGGATGGACTACGCAGGTCAGAGACAGTACTAGAGGATGAATTCATACGAAGATTCATGACTGGGACATGGCATGGTTTAATGTGCAGTGAGGTGAGACAATCCATTGTTATTTGAATATTAAAAAAAAATGAATAACCAATGTTCCTTACTGTCTGGTTTACTAATAAAGTCAAAGACAATTATTCATACAACAATTTTATTTTTAGATAATTGTGAAGAGACAATTCAACCACATCAGAGTAGCCGCAATAGTAAGGCGAGCAATATCACCCACCAAAATGTACTTCCTTTTAGGATACACTGAAGAACTTCTATCAAACTGGCTTCAATGTCCTGTCACATTGGAATTGCAGACCGTTGACAGTTTCAAAGATGTTGTATTTAAATATATATAAATTGAGATTTGAAATATATTTAGTTAGTGTATATAAGGCTATTAGTATTATTTTTAGTAAACTTTAATTATAAAATCTGTCTTTTTTTATATAACAAAGTAAAGATTTTATCATTTTTGTATAAGATGATCTTTATTTACAAAAATGCTGATACTCTACTAATATGACATGACAATGATTATGACAAATGGAATATCAATATTAAAACAATTGATATTCAGGAGCAAATAAAAATATTGCAGTTTCTCATTGACTCAGCACAGTAACTATAAAAAACTAACCAAGTGCCAATCAGGCTCATAAAATGGTTCTGTACTATTATATGAAAATCGCAAAAACCTCTAATAATCATTTTATTTAGTGTTTAATGTTTGTAGTTATAGAGGAAACAGGTATACATTATCCATGAAAATTTTAACTGTCGTGCTTGTAACGCATTTTGCTTTGAACCATAATTATTCCGATTCTACGCTTGTTCATGTCAACATTCGATTGGAATAGTCAGATGATAAAATACTTTGTGGTTATTACCCATCCTACTTGGTTAACCCTTTGTGGTTACTACCCTAGAGTGGTGAAGTATGAAAGTTTTTGGACGGCTACATTTGCGGTCGTAAATACCCTTCAATCCGCATTAGCGTGGAGGGTCATGAGACTCCTTAATCGTTCATAGGGAAGGCGTGAACCCCTGCAGTAGGGACATAAAAGGTCCGATGAAGAAAATTGAAAATATTGGTGAATAGTTTCAGTGTTTTATTAATCCATGCTGAAACAATTGATATTTTAAAATTTTACTAAAGTATGAAACAAGAAATTACATTATTATAACAATATATTATATTGCTTTATTATAACAATAAAACAAACTGTTGTGGCATACGCTACGCTGTCCTTTGGTCATCGCTATTATAATATAGTTATGGCTATAAAATAAATTTCTTGTTTCAAACTTGAGTGTGATTAAGCGTATTTTTTTATTTAATCAATTTTAGGGCGTCTAATCAAAATCGCAAGCTAAAGTTATAAATAACTATATATGTTTGAAATGTGCTAATTAAGCTCTTTCATTTCATATATCCTACACAGAATGATTGAATAATATATTTTTTATAGTTTCTTACTTTATTCTCTCTAGAGGGCACTGTTGCAAAAGAGCCAAAAGACCTGGAAAGTTTTTTGAAATTATTGTAGCTCTACACTTATATAAGTAGAGTCCTAGCTGTGGCGCTGCCATACTGACGTCAGTCCGGCAAGACCACAAACACTTATACCTCTGAAACTACGTTACTTGGCTTTTTGTCCTAAGTTCGTTACGGACTATTAAATAAGAGACTAGGTGGATCAAGAATTCATTTCTAAATCCAAGGGGCGGCGCTATCAGCCTGACTTTTTTGTTAGATGAAACTAAAATATAACGAATATTTCTCAAATTTTGTATACACAATGCTTAAAGAATCCAAAGTGAAGGACAAAGTGGATTTTTTTTGTACTTTTTATTATGAATATGGTTCATTAGTTCATCATATACTATGAATATTCCGGCTGATGATGAAATCGATCTTGTGTTTCACACAAGCGAAGAACATTAAAAGAAATAAAAGTCAGTTTATAAAATTCATATTCTTCTATAATTTGATTCATTCAAATATACATTATGTATCAACAAACAGAACAGCGAGACGCGCACGCGCGCACTTAACACCGCTCCACACACATCTAACCGACACAGAACTTCTGCACATACGCTTTGTACTTTTATGCATATTAGATATTCAACAACATTTCGATATATCTCTCATTGCAACACTGCCGTTTAATCAAGCCCGGATCTAAGGGGGGAGACAAGTGGGGGGGGGGGACAAAATCATCATTATATAATACCAACTTACAGTTTTAAAAAAACGAGCTTTACAAATCTTTTCATTCATATGATAGGTTAATGGGGCGTAGGGGGGTGGGGGGTGAAGATTCTGCCCCGGTTAGAAAGAAATCTTAGATCCGGGCATGCGTTTCTTACAAAAAATCAAGTGGCGTACACGTCGAAAAGTTGCATCATAATTATTATAAAAATTCCTCATAAATGCCTATGGTGTCCCTCTCAGGTAAATTTGTATAGTCTATCACAGTGACGTAAAGCATTTGTCCTTACATACTAGTGAGTTAAACATTGGATCTTATCATTAAATCACCATAAAACACATTTTTGTAAATCAGTTAAGGTGCTTCAGAAAATATCATGATATCGTTTATTTTATTTTTTTTAAGTCTCACACAGTCTTCATTTATTGAGCTAATTCGATAGGGCCTGTGGAATGTCTGTTGTGTTTAACACCTTACTTTTATTTCAACACTAGATGTCACCAGTGATTGTTTGATGTCAGTGTGCGCAGAAGTCCAAACGGCTGACACTATGCGACGGTCACGCTCGTTGTTTAGCATTAATCGCTATCGAAATTACATATTTACAAATTAAATGTACAGACAACGTGAAGGCTTCTCGTGGTACTCATCCAATCATTATCCAAACGTTAACGCACACTAGCACTGTGAAACTTCTCACTTACATTATTCATAATTATTATAAAAAATGCCCCGGTAAGTATAAATCGATATCAAATATTTACATATACATATATAGAAAATTAAATTACAATACAAATATGTACAGACAACACTGATATACGAATAACGAATGTTTTTAATTATATAAGTACCTAAGTCGTTAATTTAAGAATGTTCAAGCTCGTGAGAAGTTTCTACAGCGCATAATTAAATTAAATTAATTAATTTGGATGGCATCAGATTTGTATAATGATTTATCACGACGTTTAAAGCAAACTCGCGCGCAAAGAAACTGTATATAAACACAAAATGTACTGAGTATTAAACTTTAGTTTATTATCACGTTCAAGCAGTTTCTTTGCACTCGACATTATACAACAAACGTTCGTGCGATGATATATATATAATATATAAAATTCTATTTCATCACTACACAATGCTACAACTATTAAGTAAAATGTCCATCAAAATTCTATTAAAAATAAAGAGATCATATATGTTCTACTACAAATAAGATAAACTTGTCACAATAAAGCTCTCGTTATTCATAAGCGATACTTACGCATCGTAAACTGTTCTATTGGTTCGTTACAATACTGCGATTATTATTTAACTTTCAAACTGCCATTGTGTACTTATAATGTATTGATAAAATAATTAATTAAGCGTAAGTATAACTCAGAAACCGGCATGTACAGTAAAGCCAAATCTTAACAAATAAATTTAAATTTTAAATTTGTTGCTCTTGATATTTATATAAGTATATAAAGACATAATTGTACAGTGTAATAATTGTCGGTTTTTATTATGATTCACTAAATGCAAATTTTATCACTAGATGTTTCGTTTTGAGATTTTAATCGAATTAAAATTATTTTTATACGTAATCGTAGAGCAACGGTTAAGTATGAAGAATTCATGGAATTGAAATTTTCTATAAACGCCAATGGTGTTTATTTTACGTAACGCTAACGTTTGTGCTTCACACTAAGCGCATAGAAACGAATTCAACTCCAATCCATCGCAACAGTCTTAAAAGATCCTACATATAATTTACACAAGTACTAGAAAAAGATCATAATGATATGACTTCAAAAATCTATCTGTACTTTAAAAAAAAAGATTATACAGAGTCAGTAGTAAAATTTGATTAGTATAAAACTTCATTTTAACTCCATTTATCCTAAAAGTAATAATTCAATATACCCTTTACATGATTTGGCTTAACATTTTTCTTTTTACTTCCACAATTCATCCGATAGATTGCAGAGGCATCTCTATCACAAACGCGTCAGTAACATTAAAAATTAAATACAACAGCACCTATAGTTTGATAAATACATAATGATATAATATACGGAATAAAAAATAATCAAAAGTCAAATTTTTCGACTGAAAACAATTCAGATGGAGGTCAAAAAAAAATTAAGCGTAGATACAACTAACTATGCCGTGGTCCAAATAGATTTGTTATACGTAAAATGATTTTCACAGATATCACTTAATTATTTCGATAAGACAACTAACGCTTCACAACGAGGACTTCTTAACACTCGAGGACGACCACGACGCTAACACTACCCGACTCCTACATTTCGGAAATACACCTCTTACTAAGAAACTTCGACAAGTCAACTATCAAATAAAATTATACTTTATGAAATTGGATAAAAAATAAATAATATTCATGAAAAATGCTTAAAAAATTATCACATGCCCCTGGTACTCCGAGATGGGACTCGGACCCACGTTCTTTAGTAATCCGGGCGACTGCTATCACCATTGACCTACTCAGGACTCGATAGGACTGACGGATTTTTCAAACACTTGCTATTTTTAGCTACCAGGAAGCGTATTTTCATGAATGTTCAGAAATATTTGAAACTGTCGATTGAGATAAAAATTTATTACAATTATAATATTGCGAAAGAAGTGGGTTCGAGTCCCGTCTCAGAGTGCCAGGAGCTGAAGGTGAATTTTAAGTATTTTTCATTAAGAATATATTCCAGTATAGCACTATGAATGCAAAATTGATAAAACAATAAACTACCTCAAGCTATAACTTAATATGAAGCGCATAAGGTATAATTTTGCGCTAGTTCACTTGAGAATGTTTCATAGTGAGATTTGGTAGGAACTCCAACGCTGGACTCGAGTAATATCAGTGCGGGGATCGAACTCAGATTATGACTAGGATATATACAGTAGCTGAGACTTTCGACTACAACCTACCCGATAGTCCGTGCAAGTCTGACGTCACACCTGTCATCAGGGTAAAAGTGCGAACGGGCAATTAACCAAATTCTATCACAGTATAAAGTTTATTAAAAATGTGTTTAATGAGAATTTAAATTATTAATCGGCAACTACATATGGTATTTGCACATATGATCTTTAATCTTAAGTAGTAATTATTTAAGGATTTTTGTAACTTAACAATGAATATAAAACTCTTTGCCTTTCTCGGAAATTTAATTCATGCAACCTATTAGAAAATTGCTAGGTTACTTTCTATGCAAAAGTATATTATTTAGAAAAATTTCACTGAGTTTACATAGCTGACTTTCATTTTACTTTCATCTTGTATACAATTCCAAATCTGTTTTAAGAACTCTAAAATATGCA